AACAGAAGATGCTAGAGATTGGCTCGTCATCTCGACTGGGCAAGATAGAGGGTTGGATAGTCTGTAAAAGAATTAGGAGGCAAGTGATTATTTTCGTTCGAAGCATGAAAGTGAAATCATGGAAGGTGCTAGATCGTGTTGAATAGAGGCCAAGTTTGCCGGCAAATTTATCCCCATGATTTTTACCAAACAAAAAACCTGAAGACGAAGATAACAAAATTTCTCAAAATTTCCAACAAGGGTAGAAGTTTCAAGGTGTATATATTGTTGCTAAAAAAACAGGGTTTTAAAATCTATCCAAATGAATACACTCCCATCCTCTAAACGGGAAGACATTGTGTTAATGAAATAAACTTGTTTTGATCAAGTTAGAAAATTAAACAATTTATTGGAGAATTTTTGAAAGGTGTGTGTGTGGGGGGGGGGGGGGGGGATTCGACCGCCCCTCCCTTAAGCAACACAACTGCCGACCTCACTGTAATCTTGATTATATTGATAATGCAGCCATGTGCATTTATAATATGCAACATATCCACAATATGGTGCTCAAGGCGCTTAGAACAAAGGTATTAAATGTCATTACAAAAATACTCTGAAAGTGGTTTTAATAGAGTAAAAACAGAATAAAACAAATTAAAACAAAATAAATATATCATGATGTTACTTTATTACGCTACTTTTATGAGAAATATAATGTAGGCTGATGATAGTGATAGATGCCTAGATCAACTAAGATTAATATTAGACAAAGAGGAAACAAGAAAAAAATAGGCAAAAAGGAAAAAAAGGAACAAAACTCACTAAATTTTCCATGATTTCAGGTTGTGAAGAAAACGGAAAACAATCAAATTGATTAGATATCTCAGATATAAGCGACGTCAATAAATGAAGTGCATCAGTTCTAAGAGTATAATCACTAGTGAAAGCAATCACCTGAATTATTTGTTTACATACACGGTAATCTCTTTGCACGTTGCACATAAGGGCGCGCCGTATGACGTCATTGAACTTTAACCCAATCAACGAGTCCCGCGTATCAAGAAAAATGCAATGCGTTCAACTTTTAACCAATCGTGCCGGGCGTTATGAATTCGGTACGTAAGTACAACCTAGCCCATTGTGACGAAATCGGTTTCAAGTACTGTAGGTCAACAACTGCACTTGTTCCCTACGTCATAATGGTTTAATTTATTCATATGTCATGTTCTGGTTATTTTTCCCATTTTGTCGATTAATAATATTTTTAATTTAAAAATTCTCAAATTCATATCCAGTTTTCAAACCGTAACTAAAATTGTCGTGTAGACATTAGCAAATATCTCCTATCCTGATTAATTTAAGAATAGGCCTATAAGGCGGCTAATCTTGAAAATATTGTTTTTTTTACCGCTGTAATAATGAATATTGTTTTCAGTTTGTTTCAGTCGCGCAGGGATTTCAAATGGTCTGCATTTAGCGTGCAAGCAAATTTGCATGGTGACAAGTTGACAACAATTAAATTTGCATGATTTGGTCACTAAAATTTACGACGCCAACTTCGCAGCGGGCGGCGCGAATATTAGCTGTTGGTTTCCAATGCATTAGATTGAATGGGGAAGGAAGGGATGGGGGGGGGGGGGGGGGTCAACGTCATCTCCTTTCCCCTTCACCCTCATGTTTTCGGGAATGCAAACTAAGCTCTCAAGAAAGAAAGAAAGATAGAAAGAAGGACAGACAGAAAGAAACGAAGAAAATGAAAGAAAAGGGGGGAAATAATAATAAGAATGAGTAATAGTAGAAGTAGTAGTAGTAGTAGGAGTAGTAGAAGTAGAAAAGCGAAGAAGAAGAAGAAGAAGAAGAAGAAGAAGAAGAAGAAGAAGAAGAAGAAGAAGAAGAAGAAGATAAAGAAGATGATGAAGAAGAAGAAGAAGAGAGACATTATAATTTCGCTTTTTCCGATATTTTTGGTAGTTTATTTTGTTGGTGTGTTTAAATTCATCAATTCGATTGAGGAAAATATATGCGGCAATATAACTTAAATATTACTCACGGTTTAGGATAATCTAAAAAAGTAACTCACCTAATATCATGTAATTATTCAAAATGTTTTCTAGTTAAACTTGGAAAGAGTTGGTTATCTCTATTAATAGGAACATTTTCTAGTACATAAAGATGATAAATAATCGATTAGGTATAATTTCATGGATCTTCGGCGGCGGGAGCAATTTCAATACGGTCTTTTTAACCAGGTTTTAGATATTTGTTTCATTCAAATTCATTAGAGAACGCGTTGATTGGCACGTTAAGTATTGTCTTGTGAGTAGGATTTCTAGATCGGTGTACATAGTGAATAAATGACCATTATATTAATAAACAGAAACTTAATCGGGGCAAATCCAACCATCGAAACAACACCTGCCGAGGTATCCTCTTAAACGCATATATTGTGCTTGTTGCAGTAGCCATGAATGCTTAAACTCTTGAGATTTGTTTCAAATAAATAGGCAACTGGAGATCCTATAAATCAGAAAGTGGATGAACCAAAAATCAATCTACCAATCATCATTGTAATCTCACCCTCTCTTTCTCTTTTTCTCTCCACCTCTCACAATTTCTTTTACACTTTTCATTTACTTTGATAAATATAATCTCAGCGGTAGGTTGTCTAGCTCCGTCCAGAGAAATTGGCATGTCTTTGCTCCGTCTATCTGGTAAAAAAAAAAGATCACCATTGGAAAATGATAAGACATGGACACAACCAACTAACCACACAATAAACCAATAACAAATCAATATCTCTCTCTCTTTCTATTTTTCTCCTTCCCTCTCTTTGTTGCCATGAGCAACAAGTTATGATGTCATTATAAAATTATCGATATGAACGTATTCATGGAAAGGAACAATAGATCTGGTTGATGTTGAGTAATTTTCTCACAAGCTTTCATATTTCTAGAATCCTGAGCAATATAACCCAAAAGATATATTCCAGATATCAAACAATTTTAACCGCCTCATCAAACATGTAAGCCTACGATAAAATGTCTTAGTCTGTGAGGGAATATGGGAAGAACTTCCATTTCATTGCAGGCCTACTAATTTCCATGACCCTTTCAGTTAATTCTAGTACATACTTCCAAACTGGATCTGTGACGTACAAATAAGAATAACTCACCACGCATATGATTATCTCTCTTAAAAAGAATTTTAATATCTAAAATATATATAATTAACATTGATCACATTGGGAAATAAAATTGATTTCTATAGACAGATAAATACTGATAATTGTAATCGTAATATGCATCACTGAGGATTTTTGTGCTTACGATATGCTAGTGATCTGAATCAATTAAACACATGAATTTGACATTAATCAAAACTACATGAGAATTGGGTAATTGTAACTTTGCATTTTACAGTACCCTTGAGACAGGCCTCTTTTTTATAAATCACATGACCTTTAATGATTATAAATCACATGACATCACATTATAATGATAATAAATGTGCCTGTAACAGACACAAAGGCCATTTCTTAATAATTCCATTGAACCCGACACTGGAAAGTAAGTCATGTCGAACAAGGAGCAACAACCTTGGTTTCAATTCCTTTGATAAACTCAGTCTAGGACAGAACTTCAACAATGCAGCAGGTACAAATTTCATTAAAATATGTTTATGAATGTGCAAGTTACATAAGACATTATGAAGACATTCTCCACACAAATATATAAACGAATTCAAATTGTCTAAGGAAGCTTTCCTTCCTTTGAAAGGATATTTCTTAAACATATAAATAATAATTCAAAATATTGCAATTTAATAATGAACTACATATACATTACATTTCATCTTGAACATTTAAACAGTTCTCTCTATGGTCTACAAAGTAAATAATCAGTGGCGTAGCTACAGATGAGAGAGGGTTGAGGGTAATTGTTCCCCCATGAATGACAAAAATGGAGAAAACAAGGGGAAAGAAAACAAATAAAGAGAGAAGCAAAAAGGGAGAGTGGAAGAGAGCATGAAAAGACGTTGATAGGATCCCCTTTAGCACCACTCCCCTATGGTAGTTGGTATCATTGTTAATTGTATTTCATCTATTTCATTAGACCAATGCCCCCCCCCCCCTCCCCTGTGAGGGCCTCTCAATGACTTGACTAGTACTACAGCACTATTAAACATACCAACATATCATACCATACATATGCTGGACAAGTGTTTCAAACGGGTTGATTTGTGCATCAAATTTTTTTCTGAAACACTGCTACACACGCTGAGGTGTGCTCTAGAATATGGGAAAAGAGATTTCACCTCATTTTTTTTAGCCTTAACCTTGTTTTTAATTTTGTATGAGATGTGCATAAACAAATAAGGGTGTGTGAAACTTTGTCATATGTCATATTTATCTATAGACTCTTCCTCCTAGTAATTACCATTTCTACGTTTGTTTTGTTTGGTATGTAAACGTAGCTACCCCATTTACTAATGGATCAATCTTCCATAACATTGTTTTAAATATTAGGCCAATTAGGCTAATATTAGGCTAATTGGTACATGTCAAAACTCTGGGTACATCTTGGATTTGGTAACGGAATGCCAATTACATGTGTATTTCACTAATTAGCTTATCTAGCCATAAACAAATCCTTTTCATATAGTGCTTTTCAATCTAAAGCCTTCCAAATCTGGGGGGTGTTTCACAAAGATTTTAAGTAGAACTTAACTCTAAGTTGGACTTAAAAATTATGGAAAGCCGTTAGCGACTTTGAAAATATTTTGTAAAAGTTATTTTGAAAGGCATAAAATGTTGATTCAAATCATTCATATTTTCTATCATCAAGGAGATTTCATGTTCTTGATGTGGAAGTTATAAAAAAGTCTGCAAAAAAAAGCCTCCAAGTTATAAAAAGAATTTCTGCTTTTGAATGTATTTCATTTTAAGGCTTCAATGGCTGTCCATAATTTTTAAGTCTAACTTAGTGTTAAGTTCTGCCTAGGATCTTTGTGAAACACCCCCCTGGAGTACTTGAAATGTCCATACGATATTCTTGCAGAAGGGTCCATAGACGCAGCTCTGATCCAACTCATCCTACACAAACTTGATTCCGAGGTCTCAAAGCAGATTTCTCTATAGCATGTACTTTCTTGTGAAGCAAAATAAAATGTAACAAAGATCAATGTTGATTGCAATTGTCCCTGGACTTTGCATTCAAACAAAAAATTCATGGGATGCAAAACTTAGAGGGCAGCGCACATTTCGACAGTCTCGTGTGAGGGACTTCCCTCTTCTGTTCCTCCCTCATCTGTGAAGCCATCCCCGTAACCCACGCTTTCCACCAGGTCTGGTTTCTCGTCGCACATTGGGCAGAGCTGGTTACGTTGCTGCGATGACCGCATCCAGATGATAAGGTTGTAGCGCTCTCCCTCGCTGATGGGCATGGCCCCGTGCATGTGCTGCCCTCTATGGAGAAGCCCAATGGTCTTCTTATGCTCGAATCTGGCGTACTTCGTCTCATCGCGGGGCATCTGTGAAATGATTGATAAATAAAATATTAATGCACCAACTAGCAGGAAGAGGTAAATTTTCCCTACACCAGGCTAAAAAGTTTTAATAAATCTTCCAATGCAGTTTTCTAATCTTGATATAATAATAACAACATCTTCCTGGAGATAGTTGCATATTCATATAAAGCATTATTTTTTGCTATTTCATTCTAAAGTCGTATCGATTGGAGAAGGAAACCTTTGGTTATAGTTTTTTAATCAGTTAATGTTATTCTATCCCAAGCATCTATGTCACTCTCTTCAAATATACCTTTGTTTTGAATTCATGGTTCTCTTAATTTTGTTTTTTGCCGAATAAAAATTATGACGATAATATACAACAAGACTACCTGTCTCATGTCTCCGAAGTAGAGTTCCCCATCACTGAACTCTTTGCCCAGGCTCACGTTGATGGTCACCTCGGCGTTGTCAAAGTGGTAGTTCAGGTCCACGTCCTCCCCCAGTTTGTATTTCACAATAAACGCCCTGTGGGAGTCTAAGCTGTTCCCCCCGACATCGGGATAGAGGAGAGAGGCGATGGGCGCCAGGTAGTCCATGCGAAGAGGGTTCAGGAAGTTCCCGTCAAAGCCAAGCTCCATAAGAAGGACCTGAATGGCATGTAAGGTTGATGTGGATAACAACTATGATATTCTGTGTTTGAATGTCACTTGCGAACAATGCAGCCCATAGTGAGCACTCAACCCCCCCCCCCCCCCCCCCCCTTGACTTAAAAAAAAAAAGTGCGTGGGGGAAAAAAAGGTATCTTACAAGTAGTCTCATTATCGCGAACCATGTGATTCACAGTCCATTGACTTATCCACTCGGCCACTAAATTATCTCAACCCCTTAGGCTTAATATCAGAACCAACCAGATCTTGTGGGCAATGGGTTACAAAAAATGAAAAGAATGATCATTTTAACTTACACCATAATTGTTCATAGTATTTGGCCGTCCCTTTGGGAGAGGAGAGTTTTCAAAATGTGTGATCTCCTCAACAAACCGATCACAGAACTCGGCAGTGAAGACAGGAAAGGAAAAGACCTGACTTGCTGAAACAAATGAGAGAGAGAGAAACAGAAATACCTTTGATAATATTTCAATATATCTCCTTGACCTGAAAACACATATAAAATACTTAAAAGTCAAATGGGCATAATATAAATGAAAATGTTAAACATACAAAGTTAATGATGAAGCAAATTAAGCAAATGTTAAAAAATACAAAGTAAAAGATGAAACAAATTACGCAAAGGTACTCTTTCTCCAATACTTTCCTCTGCCCTGGTGAAAAAATGGGTACCCAGAAGGAACCCACTACGTGTGAACATCATTTCAGTTTGCATTAGCATATGCATGCAATTAAAAAGGCGACTGGTTGGAATAGTCCCCTTACTGAAAGTATGGAATTCTAACTAAATCTAATGACTGGGGTGTGTCACTTGTTATTGGAAAAGTAAGACTTATCATTATGGATTATACATTTACCATTTTCTCTGGTTAATCTTTTAGCCAAACCCTCCTCAGTGGCATCGTTACTTTGACAGTATTCAACAATCTTCAGAAACTCTGGGGCAAGATACGACTCCTGGAAGAAGAGAACAGAGATTGCTACAATTCCTGTCTTTAAAGCATCAATGTAATTTACCAGACCTTCAATTAAGGAAGTAACTTCACAACAGAGTCAGTAATTAGAAGGGGGAGGGAGGAGGGAAGAGAGAAAGAGAGAGAGAGAGAGAGAGAGATAGAGAAATGAACGGACTATCAACATTTTCTGTAGATACAATTTTCAACTACAGTAAATTAGATACGGTGAGAAACTCATCTTCATTTTCTTACTTTTCCTCACTAAATGCTGATTGATCACTTGTCATCAACTACATGTACATTTCACGCCTTTTCAGCTGGTTGACGACCATGTCAAAATATTATATTCCCTAACTCTTGTCTGTTTCATTTTTAACTACTATGCATCCATTGGAAGGTGTGACCATATATACTCATCCTTCTTGCTCCAACTAGACTTTTTTAGCAGTCACACAAGGGGAGAAGGGGTTGAAGCCCCCCTAAAACAAACTTTATTTTAGCATAATTTAAATTCTGCCAACAAATATAGACTATTGATAGCCTCATTATGGGTAAATCACAAAAATTGCTAAACTTTTTTCCCTTTCCTGTCTGGCTTATTGTATTTTTTTAATTTGAACATTAGTTGAGAAATTTAATAATCTACATGTCAATCATTTTTTCCTGCAAATTTGAAAATGAGAGGAATCATGTTATTGTTGTTGCTGTCGTTTTTTGGACGTACTGAAATACGTTTGTCAGAAATTTTCTCTAAACCCCCCCCCCCCCCGCCATTTAAAAAGTTCTTCTAATTATATTCCTGAGAGACTGTTTACCTGCAGTGTGTATAGCGGGGGATGCAGAGGCTTGTATCCTGCTGAAATCTTCTCCTTCCTTTCCAGTAGCTGGATGCCACGCTGTTTTCTTCTCTCCACTTCTGCTTTGACCTGGCAACGAGGAAATTTAGTGAAGCATTCATTTCTATCTGTGCATACTATAAACCACTTTCTAATAACTGTAATGTGCACTAATGAATACTTAGTTAAAGTGCAATCTAACCCTTGTAATAGGAAGATTTGTATGAAAGCAAAAAAATAACCGAAACAGAATGGCGAAAGTTTGAAATGAATCGTAAGGAATAGTAAGGAAGTTATAAATATTTGAAATATGAGATCACTAAGTCTATGAAAATCTCAAATTGGTAGTTTGGTTAGTGCATTGTGACGTAGGACGTGGATAACTTTTTCATTAGCCGTGTACACAAATATCACTAGTTTCTGTTTTTTTCATAAGTTCCTTCTCCCTTGGGTCACTACTCAAAATATATTATAGATAGCATATTATTATACATGCAGGTCCTCTAAAAAGAATAGACCTTCTTGAGCCATGCATTTTTTTTTAAATTTAGATTTTAGTCATTTTGTATGTTGGAACAGATGGGAAAGAAGTCCAGCACTAAATCACATTGACATCACCGCTTCAGCCAATTTGAAGTGCCCATAAACTTTAACAAATTCATAACTTTCTTATATTCATTTAGATTAAATTGCTTCTCTGATCTTTCTGCTTTCGTTTAGAGTAGTTGTCTATTTGGGTTGGATTTCCCTTTAAGAATAAAACAAGACTATGGTGGTAGTTGTCTTATGCACCACCGAGAGATCATCAGTTGTTTTTCTACCAGTTAAACAGGAAGGGGGTGGGGGTTGCGACTTCTGCCTCAGTGATGATTCTCCTGCTCACCCACCCACTGAACCTCAGTCTGCTTTCCCAGAAAGGAAAAACAAAAGTATAAATGTTGTATATAAAGATATAAAGATCCATGTATTTCATATCAAGTTTTAGTTCCCCCCGACTTTCTTTTTTCCCGCCTCCAATGATTTATTACCGTGTCTTTGGGGGCAAGAAGGGCTTCAAACTACGACTGCTCCAGAGAACGTCTGAAACCCTTGAGCTTCCAGAGCCCTTTGCAGGCCCTTGACCTATATAAGTTGAAGGGGACAAGCACTTGTCACACATATAATTTAGAGGCCTACAATATTTTTTTCTCCCACCAAGTAAACTATCTCAGAATGACATTGAATGGAGTCACTTACCTTAATCAATGCTGCATCTAATTCATCTTCATCTTTGCAACCCCTCTTCATTAGAGCCTGTGAAAATACAAGACAACACAAAAATGAATGAAACTAAAGAGTGACTCTCATTTATAGATAAGTACTAAAAAGCAAGGGGGGAAAGGGGGGAAGGGGGGAGGGGGAAGGGGGGGAAAGGGGGAAGGGGGAAAGGGGGAAGGGGGGAGGGGGAAAAGGGGGAAGGGGGGGGGGGGGGAGGAAAAAAGAAAAGTTTACAATGACAATTAATGTCTGACAAGTAACTTACTAATTAAGTAAGCTTATGATTATCCAAAATTGATCTAGAGTGACCTAGAAAGATCTAGTCAAAAAAATGTCTAACAATCATTCAAGCCAGGAAAAAGTAATTTAGACCCTAAAAATTGGAGTAAAAAAAACTAAACTTGCCAAATCTGAGGATCAACCCAAAACACTGTATCCCAAACAGAAGCATTGTGGTCGTATTATTACTTTCATCATCATTCTTCTTCTCCATGTCTTCCCAGTTCCGTATGTTTAATTCTTCTCATGTCACTCTCTCTCTCTCTCTTTCTCCTCTTCTGCATATAATTTCTTCCTTCCTTTATAATTTTTGTTCACCCTCTCTTTAATTATCTCTCAATATCTATATCTCCCTTATACTAAGTCTCTCTCTCCCTGACACTTTCTCTTTCTGTCAGTATTGTTTATAAATGTTTAGTTATGTTTTTATGTTATATCCTCATATATTGTGTGACTGTGTTGAATTACATTATCGAGTAGTATATTGTGAAAAGGCATATAATTTGCAGTATATTATTATGGTTTGAAAACAAACATGCATGCTTATTTTATTTTCCCCAAGTTGTAGTATTGTAGTGAGATGAGTTATTTTTCTGAAAGGTGTAATAGATCTAGTAAACAGTTCCCATCGAACTTGATTCATCATGAACTCGAAAGATATATGTAAACAGTTCCTGTTGAACTTGTCAGTATTTACTTGTCATAAACTTTAATAATCAGCATCAATTTCAATTTGAAATATGAATATAATAATAATAATAATGATGAATTCATACTATTTATAACTTCAAATCTTTTTTCGAGTATGGGATATTTAATACGGTTAGTTGTATTGTATTTTACTGTGTATTATTTGTAAGTAATAGAGTCTAGTATAGACAGTAGAGCAACAGGGTATGAAACGATGAAACGGTTGGCTCGATCAAGACCGAGGAACTTGGAGAGAAACTTGGAGAGACACTCGATATAAATTTTGAATGGGTCACTGAACCTGCCATAAACTGACAGATCACTATTGATGATGATAGATCTATATATCTATTCTAAGGTTTGGTGAATTTTTTTTATATGCATGAGCTTAGATCTAATTGTATTTTGTAAAACTTGCAATGTAATTTAGCTCTCTGACTACCATTTTGCAGTTGATTTAATAAACCATTCTAGGTCTACTAGTACTACTACATTGAACCCCAAACATGCCCAACGAAGCTGACAATGACAATGTCGTTTATAATAACTTTAGACCCTAGGCCTAGCTGCGTATGGCTATATGTTTATTGCATTGTTTACTTCGTAGGACTAGGAGTGCAGTGCTAGTGGCAGCTGAATGAAGCCGCCAGGCCAAGCGCAGGGGCCGCTCGGGGCTAGCTGTGCCTTCCTAGCTAAGCTAGCCTCGACCTGCTGCGCTGCCAATGAGCCCGGCGCTTCTCACAGAGCCGGTCCGCGGGCACGATCGAAGGACATGACAGGTACGTTTCCGCAATCATGGCAATAATTTCCAATATCTCACCTCTCTCCAAGTACTCTTAAAAAGGTTGCTGTCGTCGAAATACGTGACATGTTGTTTGTATTTCTTTAGAAATATGTTGTGCGTGAAGAAACAGCCACAAACCCAGAATCTCTCGACGGAGTTCACTACTGCAGCTCCAGCAGCCATCACTCACGTTGACGGTATTCGTTCATATTCGGTTAGTGAGGAATTCCCGGTCAAGGCCTAGGTCTAACCAGGGACAAGCCCTGGTATAACGAATGTTTGGAGTTATAACGCAATGTGAATGCGAATGTGACCGAAAACTACCTTAATACACTATGAACATGACAGACAATGAAAGCGGACAAAATATACAGTTCCTCAGGAAAACAAAGGAACATCCCTTCACTGCTATTATGTAAAAATGTGTAGAACAGGTGAATATGCATGTGACACCTGTTCTACACATTTTTACATAATAGCAGTGAAGGGCTGTCCCTTTGTCTACCTGAGGAACTGTATATTTTGTCCGCTTTTATTGTCTGTCATGTTCATAGTGATACTTCTTGACGTTCGTCGACTTGCAAATGTAGTGGCTAGCTCTGTTCTCACTTCTCAATTCAACTCATCTCTCCGCACCGTACTACCTCGGTCTAGGAATCAAAAGCCTCTGTACTACTAGATCCAGGGAGGTTTAGCTCTCATATCCCTGGTAGGCTGGTACGGTAGGCCTAGGCCTACTAGATTTTGTCAGTTCAACTTCTAGTTTTCATGCAAAGAAAAGGGGGATAATCATCGTGTCTCTGACTCTGAGGACAACCAACTAGTGAACTACATAAAATGTGTGTCATGATTCAGAGTCTAGTCTGAGGTTATACTTTCATCAAATAATGTTGTTAGCTGTCCCAAATGGCATTTGATTTGGACTTTGCCAAGTTAATTGCCTTCACTTCAGGAGTGAAACAGCAGCATTATTAGCAGATTAGATCATTAGGGCAAGCGGGATCAACCCCCACCCCCCCCCCCTAAATTACTTTATGCCCAGCATCCCCTTCTAAGATGCCTTTACATTTTTATTTCTCATCACATGATTTCTACAGAGGACAGCTAGGAATCATGGTAGATCGAGCATTGGATGCATCTCACTTGAGTGAACTGGTTCACTTGGAACTATTGCAACATGCCAAGTCTGTATATGAAGAACAGGGAACATGTGAGTATTTAAACTAGTAGATGGGAGAAAGTCACGGTACTCCTTTTTTTTTAAAAGGGGGATTTCTTGGAAATAGTTAGGTTTTATCAAACTCAGAAAAGTGTTCACATAAGGCACATAGCCACAGGGGGGGGGGGGGGGGGGAGGGGCACGTGTCCCCCCCCCCCCCAATTTTTTTAATCTTCTCCCAAGATTGGTTGAACTTTTTTTGACCTCGATCGATTACATGTATGTCCCCCCCCCCCCCCCCCCCCCCCAAACATCAAGCTCTGGTTACGTGCCTGCACATATGAAACAGATCAGTGAGAGCTTGAGGAAAATCAGATAATTTTTGTTTAAAGTTAATTTTTTAAGTACCAAAATTGTGCATCAATCTAATTTGTAAAGTGTGTAAAGTTTGTAAAGTTTTCAAAATGACAAATTCTTACTGCAAACAGCATGCAGAGCAAGTGGGATATATAGGTGCTTGTATTGTTAGGTGTGTGATCTCTATCTTTATCTAGATATAGATCTAATCTTCATAGAAATATACCTCAATCTTTTACTGATGTGTTTTTCTTTATTTTTTTAAACATTTTTTGTTTAAAGTGTACCAATCACCTACAATATTTGAGTCTGTGTTTTAGAGGCTCAATGCCACTTCAAAATGTAAGCTTCAAATAGATCTATTACTTCTCAAAAGAGATATTGCAACGCGACTGTGTCTTGTGATTATACTACTTGACTCACCCGTACAGAACCCAAGAGCTACTTGGCTCTCGTGAGCGGAGTTTTATGTTATTCTTTATTTTCTTAGTACTCCTTATATGTTAGCCTTTATAATACCAGGTAAAGTTGTTTTAAGTTCATTTAATACATTCTTGATATATGCAATTTATGGGTTACTTCAAGTCAGTTTGATGCCAGAGTAGGCCGAATTTTCTGTCTCTTTCGTTTGTTAGCCTCTGATTTGGGTAGGGTCGGCTAAGAGAGGAGCTGACCCTACCCAAATCAGAGGCTAACGAACTACGAAAGAGACAGAAAATTCGGTCTAATGCCAGAGTGGATTTTCCCTCCGAAGAGAAACTCGTTTTCTGTCCATTTTGAGAGAAACTGGTTCAAAATGTTATGAAATGTTTGTCTCACTTTAATTGTCATTGTAGGTCAGCATTCAGCAAACATTTTATTGAAAATGTGCTGAATTTATTTCCAGTTAAATAAGAGAAGTTAAGGTTGCCTTATACGGCCATTGCATTTTCAGTCCTGCTTCCCACACATTGTAAGTTAAGATTGTCTTTAAGAGTGAATTAAATACAGAGAATTTTCTGAAATTCCAACAAGTATTTCAGCCCTTCAAGAAGTTTAAGTACTGGATGTATTATTTCCAAACAATAGGGAAGCCAAAATTTGAGTTAATGCATGTATTTCATTCGGTTTCTTTTATTATTATGAAATCAATTATACACTGTATGTGCATGAAGATTCAAGATTGTGATTAATTTCTCTTTTTCCCTATTTGCTTTCAGTGACAGATGATGTCCTCTCTGCGTAAGTATTTCCATCATTTCCTTAACAAATGAATCTTCATAAATCATAATACTAATCAACAAGATCTGTCAACAGACTGAACGAAAAAAAATACATTACCCCAAAGGCTAAGAATCAGTCAGTTTGGAGTTGGTTTTGGGGCGTGACTGAGGTATGAACAGATTTGCTAGGTTAAGTATTAGAGTATCTGGGGATAAACTGAAGTATTTCAGTGAAATTTTATATATGGTAATGACCAAATATCGTTCTGTTAAGCTCACAGTTTAAATTCATATAATGGAAATTTCCTTGAAAATAAGGCATAATTAATGTGCATATATACAAGTGAAGTACATCACCCTTGTTTTTGGAGTAGTTAAATATTATTTTGTTTAGACTTCAATGTAATAGCAGAGTGTGATATGAATTATGGTAACATATTAGCTAAAGCTATACATGTTCTGGTATAGAGATTTTGCAGTCAGTGTTTCCTTTGACAGGCCCCTCTTTCCTCTTTTCCGTATTGAATAATAGGCTCCATTTTATGTTTGGACCACCTCTCCTGCAAGCCCTAGACCTGGTGGACCATCAGAGTGTGACGCTGATCAAGAGCGAACCAGCCGGCAGAATAGTTTATCAGGTAACACAGCAATGCCTCTGCATGAGCAGTGGCACCATGTTTGGCATTAAAGGTAAAGTTGAGTTGTGTATGGTCATGCGATTGCATTGTGAAAGAAAAGTTGTGGAATGGATCAGAAAACGTTGGTCATGTAGCATGTAGGTATTTGTGTGTACTGCAAGGTTCTGGAGTCATCAAAATCATTATAAATTTAGTCCAGTCTTGGTATAAGTAACAAGCACTGATGTACACAGAAAGTTGTATATGGGACTACACAAATGGTGTCGGGCCTACCTACTTTGATTTCCTTATCTTTCTATGCTCATTTCTCAGCCAGTATACATTTCTATCAAAATTGTTTGGCAAATGACATTTATTTGTAACCTTGAACATTCAGTGTATAAGTTTCATTTGATTCTGTGAGAATTAATTTTCTGTTTTTACCAGAACTCATATTTATCTTTAAAGGAGGCACTGGCATAAGTGACATCATGTGGTGGATTGGGAGGCTGGGGGTAGAGGAAGGTCAACTGGTTTTACAGGAAGGATGGAATTTCAATGAACAAGGACTTCGAAGTAGGGAAGATTGTTTGAAAATCCTCTGTTTACTCTCTTTTCCATATCTTTCTTTCTTTCTCTTTTCCCTTCCCTAGTTTTCATTGCCTTTCCCCACCATGCAATGGGCCCTAGGGGAGGGTTGGGAGGGCTGTCCTCCCAAGCCTCATAGGTAACCTACGGTACTGCATCTAAGTTTACTATATGGCCGAGGCCTAATGTTTGAATTTGTTCAGTCTAAGTTATGAAGAGGAAGTCCACCCTGACATTCAGTTTATGTGGATAGAAGCAGAAAAATTAGAGAAACATATCAGTGAACAACTTTGTGATGTTTCTTGTGAGGTCCTCTCTCAAGGTTCATCACAGAGCGATAAAACTCCTTCAACTGGACAGATTTCTTTGTCTAGTTTTGTATCACAAACTCTTTTCTTTGTTTGCAGGTTGTCGGTAGCTCTGGAAGTCCATACCTGTGCCTACCAAGTGCAGGGTACTGCCCTTGTCTCTTCTTCTCATTTGCAGGTAGGACTAAGTGATTTATTTAGTTTTTAATCTATCATTAGGCCTAAACAAAAAGATGTTGTATCGCCCTTTAGGTGCCAACACATGGGTCGGTCGGAATTTTTTTTTTTTTTTTTTATTTCAATTTTTTTTTTCTTCTCCCTCTTTGGGCTGATGTTTCTCAGTTTTGTATTGCATTCAACATTCTTTTTTCTAAAAATACGGTAAAAAAAAACAACCTTTTTTAAAAAGCCGACTGTAGATTTCAAGATTTTGGGGTCGGTCACAAAGGGCAATACAACTTTTTTTTTAAAACGCCTTATGGATACTACTATGATGCAGGTACATACATGTATGTATCACAAATATGCTCCACTTTACCTCCTGCTTTTTTTCCTAACAAGAGAGAGAGAGAAAGAGAGCGCCATATTTTGTTTTATTTTGATGAATTGAGTTCTTGTCACGATCATTGAATATTAATGTAAAAATAACACTCATTTTCCATTTTATATCATTTTTTCCCCATAATTTTTCAGTACTCAAGAGGAAAGAGGTTCCTATGGTAAGTGAACCAGTTCAGATATTTATGCTCATGTTAAAGATTGAGTTTTGCATGAGGGGGAATGTTAAAATATATAACTTCTCAACAATGTTATTGTCCTTTGTGAAAGGGAAGAGGGGAGGGGGGAGGGGAGGGTTGGGTGTCATGAAAAATATCATCTCACCTGAAGTATACACTGGATAGTTGAAAATTCATACATACACACATATCTCTTGTATAAATTAATAGTATAGGTTTTCCCGCCCAACTTCGTAAACTTAGCATCCCAATTAACGTTACATTCATTCAAGTTCGTGCGAAATTGAATGACTATGTCGATCAACATTCAAAAAGCTAATTGCGTCATTCAATTTGATTTTGTAGCATGCGATTTCATACTCTTGTCATGGAGACGTGCAAAACGAGCATTCAATTTAGAAAAGCGTGCAAAGAGCATTCAAATTCGCGCCGGGCAGACGGTGGTATATATTCGTGCATTCAATTTCGTGATTAGTCATTCATATGTGACATTTATGCATCGCTTTTCATTTGATGTTAATTTGTCATTTAATATACTTCTGTTTGAATAATTTTATGCAAAGTTTACTTGGAGAAATGACATGCGTATTCGTTAGTAGATATCTGTCATTACACTGGTAACTGTCCCCAGAGAAGGTGCACAATTTGTGACTTCTCTTCTAAGAACAAGCTATATAATTACATGAATCCTGGACAGCGGTAGAGTTCAGCTTTAGACATGGACATGATGGAAACAAAATACAATGATGAATAAAGAAACAGATGTAAAATGAAAAGAAAGAAAGATTACCTACTCAATCCGGATTGATTATTAAAAAAAACATTAAAAAAATAACCTCATTTATAATGAAAGATATGAAGACACGACTGTATAAAGAAATGTTTCATCAAAAAGAAAGATCGAAAGAAAGAGAAAATATTGAATGCACTATAAATATATCAGACAAATAAGAAGATTGTATAATGTGAAATCATGTCAGAAAAGATCATAGAGAAAAAGAATATACAAATGAACATGAAAAAGTGAATATCCTAATAAACATCGAGCCTCGTACAATAATTATGAGGTCTAGTTTTAATTTGAATGACCCGATTGCGAAAGAGGTTGCCCATAGACGAAAATGAAATCGCAATTCGCCAAAGAATTGTCCTCCCACTCAACTTTGGCGAAATTGAATGACGCTAACGCATTTCCAAATTGACTGAACCAAACGTTAATTTGAATGTGCTTGTTTCGAAAATTTGGTGACTCGAAACGAAATTGAATGCAAAAAGTTTAAAAATGAAACAGGGGAGTAACGAGTGGAGAAAATTCGCTCGAACATGAATGCACGTTAGTGAAATTGATCGCTGCTTTGATGGAATTGGCCGGGAAAACCTATAATTTCCAGTAGATGTGTACATTTATATCTGCTTTAATTTGTTTCGTACATTGTTATATAAGGACAAAAATGGAAAATTCCAAGTGACTTTTAGTTATGTTGAAAAAGTGGAAAAGAAATCTTCAATGCAGTTAACAAGAGGTGTCGGGGTGAAGTGGATTAAACGCTTGACTAGAGATGCAAAGGTTTAGGTTAAATCCTCAGCATGGCCTGCACTTAATGCAAGGCATTTTGTCTACATTGCTTCTCTCCAACAGGGTACTGTAATAGATACCCAGTAAGATAAGCATTTTGAGCCGGGGTGGAATGCTCCCCAGGGAGAGGAGAATGTGCACCGAAACTCTGGGCAGAGAACCCTGAATTTCCTGACTGGGAAATGATATATCCGTGACAGATCTTGTGGATGTATCAAACTTTATATATAATATGAATCCAGAATATTATTATTATTTTGGTCAAAATCTGGAAAATAATCCCATTTCTTTCTTGCAGTGCAAGCACATGCTAGCTATACTGCTTGCCTCTGCTATGGGACTGGTGAAAGAGACTACTGAATCCGATGATCATGTGACCAACCTCCTCCTCTCAGCCGCTAAGACCGATGCGGAACCCACTTGAAGCAGGTCTTGGACTTGTTTTCTTCCGAGGGTACGGTCCCAAACAGGTTGACCTATTGGGAGTTGGAAATGATTCCAAGGAAAATAAGACAACAACTGCAGAGCAAGACCAACCGAGACAACAGTACATCTAGATTACGGACACTGAGTCTCGTCTCTTGGATGGTGATGTGTAAGGTGGATCCCCAGACTTACACATCTGTAAAAACCCAATTACACACACACACACACACACACACAACACACATATACATATTAGTAAAGAGCCATACTAAAGATAATAGACAATGATCGCCCTGAAACTATAAAAATACACAAATAAAAGAATGTAAGTTTAAGTTTTGTCTTTATTTCAAATTGCATTTCCAAGAATAACTTTCAAGTAAATCTACAAAATTGATTTAAAAAATTACAATGAAAGTAACTGATGGAGTACAGTATAACACCTTTTGGGTTTTTTCTATCCATCAAAGAGATATTATGCTTAGGAATGGGTCTGGAGCCTATATCACAGAGGAAATGGTTATGTGTATTCCTTGAAAGCACACCTCTTCATTATTGGAAATTGTTTTTTAAATGCTCTTTCGATCCATTTAATGGATGTTTGATTACTGATGTTTTGGGGGGAGAAATTCAAATTCAGATGTGAATTGATGTAGTCGAAGGAGCTTTTTGTTGACTGGTTGATCATGAACCTTTACTATTGATCTAATAATCTAATAATTGTTTATATTATTGTGTATGACTTAAGTAACACAATATTTGTAGAAAATTGTATTTTTATACCTCTGCCACCGAAAGTGGTGCTGGAGGCATTATGTTTTGCGGTTTTCCTTCATTGTGTCTATCCGTCCTACTTACCTGAAGAACCATTAAATAGATCGTAACCAAACTTGGATCAAGTTTGTATGATCATGCAATAATGAAATTGGATTTTTGGTGTATAGGTCAAAGGTCAAAAGTTGCAGGGTCATAAAAGTGTTTAAAAATGCCGGTAAATAGCTCATTACTGCAACAACTCATAAACAATTAATTAAATTCAAACCAAACATTGATGAAATGTGAATGGGCATGCAAGGAAAGGAAGAACTAATTATATTTTTGTGTAAGAGGTGGAAGGTCAAAGACCACAGTGTAATAAAAGTGTTTATAAATGCCAGAAAATATCTTGTTGCAGCGATAATTAAAGGAGTGTTCCCGCATTGCAAATCAGACGTGGGTGCAGTATGTATGAGCATGCAAGGAGGAACTGATTACATTTTTTGGTGTACCTGTAGTAGTTCAAATGTGACAGATCATAGGGTCATAAAAGTGTTCAAAATCAACGAAAATATCCTATTACTATGGTAACTTAAACAAGAATTTAACCAATGTTGACCAGACTGGGCACAAGTTTATGTATGTATACGCATAAAAACTTGAACAGATTAAAAGAAAAGAGTTTGGGCTTGTAAGGTCAGTAGTTAAAGGTCACATGATCATCGATCATGGACATATGTGTAACCGGTGGAGGCATATTAGAGACCCAGTCACAGCCATCTTGTTTTTAAATGAAATTTGTCAAATGTGATAGGGATGTCAAGTAACATAAATTAGAATATGTGAGATTATCTCTTTGCCTGCAACTCAATTATGCCACATTGTCTTTGTCATAGAAGAGTTTTGCCAAAGATTTCAAGGCTATTTAAATGTAATTTGTTCAGGTGTTAATTAAATAGGGTAGTCATGTTGCCAATCGGCACTGCATGGTGGCAAATGAAAGGTTGAATTGCTTTTGTGCATTTCATGTTATTATTCGACTTAATTTGTGTGGTCATGTGTATTAAGTATGTGAGCTAGCTAAAGATGGAAGTTGGGATATATGTAGTAAAGCATTATGCACTTGTGGCAAAGAACCCTTCTTTAATACTGATTGTTGATAATGTGTATAGCTTACCTCACACCATATACATGTACATGAGAAAGGTCCAAAGAGAATTGCAGAGATAGGTAAAGACAGACAGAGAGAGAGAGAGAGCTAGAGAGACAGACAGACATACAGAAAATAGAGATAGAGAAAGAGAGAGAAGGTAGCATGAGCAAGAGTAGGAATAGGCAGGGGAACATGGGGTGCAAAATGGAGATGGGGGGGGGGGGGGGGGGGGGGGGACGTAATGAGAAGAAAGAGACAAATACAGAAGATATGAAACGATATACCCTTACAAAAAAACCTAATGGTAAATGAATGGTGTTTGAATGGTAGCATCAATGGTAAATGGTATTTCAATGGTGTGCCAATGGTGGATTCTGTATGGTGAATGGTGTTTCAATGGTGGTGTATGATGATGAATGGTGTTTCAATGGTAGAGTCTGTATGGTGAATGGTGTTTCAATGGTGGAATTGTATGGTCAATGGTGTTTCAATGGTAGAGTCTGTATGGTGAATGGTGTTTCAATGGTGGAATTGTATGGTCAATGGTGTTTCAATGGTGGCGTCTGTATGGTGAATGGCGTTTCAACGGTGGAATTGTATGGTCAATGGTGTGCCAATGGTGGATTCTGTATGGTGAATGGTGTTTCAATGGTGGTGTATGATGGTGAATGGTGTTTCAATGGTAGAGTCTGTATGGTGAATGGTGTTTCAATGGTGGAATTGTATGGTCAATGGTGTTTCAATGGTGGCGTCTGTATGGTGAATGGTTTTTCAATGGTAGAGTCTGTATGGTGAATGGTGTTTCAATGGTAGATTCTGTATGGTCAATGGTGTTTCAATGGTGGAATTGTATGGTCAATGGTATTTCAATGGTGGAATTGTATGGTCAATGGTGTTTCAGTGGTGGAATTGTATGGTTAATGGTGTTTCACTGGTAGTGACTTTGAGAAAACTAGGTGTCCCTTATAGTTTGAACTACAATTTGCTCTGTGATTTCGCTTTATTTTTCGCGAATTTGTCTTCATGATCAACGTTTCAAAGCTGACAAACTGCAAGGAATAATACCCTAGTCCTCAGGAACAATGATGGATCTTTAGTTTTTTCTTCAATTTGGAGTAATTTTGGATCTGATATGTGTCTCTTTACCGTGAGTAACTGCTGTTTTGTGCCTGTGGTCCCACTCATATGACTCTGTGATGTACATTATTATACATTTGCTTACATGAACATCTGTTATTGTTAATTAAAGCAGCTTATAAATCATTCTATTTTATTACAAAAAAATGAAATATTACAGTATTAGGGGCACACCTTTAGAAATTTTATCAAGTTATTTATCTGATCGTAAACAATTAACAATTATTAATGAAGCTGCAGTCCCATTACAAGCATTTTGTGTTCACTGGTTTGTCGTCATCATGGTTCTTAGCTGTTTTTAAAATCGATGATTAGTTTTGGCACTAAATCCCTATGACATTTTTTAGGAATAATGTTGAGCTTATATTACCAAAATTTGAAAAATATTAAACGTTTGATTAATCAAACTAAAAGGGTGTGAATTGAAGTAGCATATTTGTAGGCTAAACCAAAATGACGAATGAGTATAATCTACTCATCGTTCATTCAATTCTAGTCCATATTGGTAATGGAGATCCTAAATAATATTTCAGCCTATATCAACTAAATCTACCGAGAAGAAAAGATGATTAATGAAGAGAAATCAATAACTGACACAGTCATCACAATATGCGTGCATACAAAATTTGGTTCAGTCTCCCAAAATTTGAATTTTTTTAAAATATCATTGTAGCTGGATAAATCAATGTTGAATATTTTTACAATTTTTTTCTCATACAAAGATGGTAACATTTCCTAACATCTAATAATTATTGAGTCAAATCAACCTAATCTATTTAAAAAACAATTATTACAAACCATGATGATTATAAATCAGTAAACATTCACAAAATACCCTAATTGGACTAGGCTCTACTAGGCACAACGTCAAACAACACTTGGAGATAACCTTGACAAAGGCGTCTTGCTAGTCCAAGTATAATGTAATCAGAAGTGTAGCTGCTTTTTCATTAGATGTTTCTGTTGCATATTGGAAGCTAGTATTATATGAGTATTTTTCCAAGAGTAACAGTCATAACTAGCTCTCCAGGTTGGGTGGAAAATTACAAGCAGATTGTAGATCTAGCTCTGTCAAAAAAAGAATAACAAATCTTTAACAGTTGTTATGCTTCCACAACGAAGTGGCAAGTCCCTTTAAAAAGGCTGAAAATATAATTTCTTTGGGTTATACTTACATACAAAATTTTACATTTAGATTTTGTAACATTGCTAAAGAAAGTCTGAATAATATTATGTTTTAATAGTGTACTATGTTCCAAGTGATTGCCTTATTGATGTTCAAGTAAACCCCAAAGTAATGATACTTATATTGATGATGCAATAGTCTACACACAGATGTTTAACTCAGCCAAATTACCTATACACTAACTGCCACTTCTAAATTGTCCATTCTTTGGTGTTTCTTAAACTTTTGTTAGAACTCTGAATGAGCACCTGTCAATAAGCGACTTGACATATATTTACAAGAATTTCTAAAGTGGGGGGGGGGGGGGATGTTTTACTGTGGAAATGCTGACATCTATCTGGTCCCTTGTTTCAATCGAATTGTCACTGTTTTTGGTGAAGTCAGTAAACAACATTCACAGATTGATCTTAAAATCATCTTTTCTTGCTAGTATGAAAACAGTATTAATATATGTCTCCACATCTTGCCATGGTACAGTTAAAGGGATAGTTGAGTTCTGTTGCAGAGGGGGCTAAACAAAATAATTTCTTTGTGAGATAATGAAAAACTGAGTGTCAAATTTGAAAAAACATACAATTTAAATGACAAAAAATCATCTTTGTTTGATCAAAATCGGTTCAGAGATGGCTGAAATATCCATAAATATAACGATTTCTAATACTTCTGTACCACCGCAAATATTAGATAATTTGAAAAAGCCGTTGGAAAAACAAAATAGCGCCATTTACGTTGTATTTCAGCCAATGCCGATGTTGGCTTTTTTGTTGGCATTTTCGTGTTGGTTTGGTACGCACAACCAGCCGGCCCATGTATTGTTATTTTTAATTAAATAATTAATTAACGGTCACCATATTTTTGTTAAAGTAGAGCTGAATTGGTATGATCGTATTGGCTAAATTTCACACATTTTGGGGTCTAAAATTACCTTCATAGCAAATTTAGGTTCTAATAGGGCACTAGAAATGTCATAGATAACAATAAGAGCAATAACCATGCACTTTGAAGGCATTTGTGGTCTGAAAAACAAAACTCAACTATCCCTTTAATGTAGTACCATTCTTTTTTACAAAACGGAAGTGTAAGAAACAGTTTGGAGAATATATGTTGTAATCATTCAAAAAATGTAAATTCCAGTGCTTGTATAAAGGTGTGTAAGTTTCACCTTCATTATTCAGAATCATAGATGGTACAGGTAAATCTCAGATGCAGCAAAATGGCCTATAAGTTTTTTACATAGAAAATGTATAACACTCTCCTAAGAGCTACTGCCGAGTCATCTGAAGTTTATTTAAAAAAATGGTTTTACAGACTTCTTGCTCACGTATCAAATGGTTGCTGTTACTCAACAGAAATTTTCCCTGTGAAATGATGCATTTTGAGGAAATTACACAGAAGACTTAATAAGATGCACAACATTGTCATGAAATCTTGCATTTGAAACAAGTGTGACAGTGTGTGTAAGAGAGAAAAAATAAATATTCGCCAAATGCACTGTTATTGCAGTGGAAGTAAAAAATCACATTTAATTTTTGAATAAGTTTCAGTTATTTTTGTTGATATTACTTACTGGACAAGGTAAATTGATACTTTTTATAATGCATAACAAGATTCATTAGTACAATGTGTTTTAACCGCATAAATATAGTTCCTTGCTTTATTATTATATCTACATATTTTTTTTCAATGTACATTAGTCTGATGGTCATGCATCAAAAGTACATGTGTGTGTGGTTTTACTGCATTACTTTGCTACAGATTTTTAGGGAGTACAGTGTGATGCAGTTTGGAGCATGTTTCACTCAGTGTTCACTTTTATGGTAATCACAAATTTATGATGCAACTGTTTCCTTAAATTACTTTCTTTTTTTCTTTTTTATTGACATACATGTATTCTAAAAGTCTTGATTTCCATGATGTGCCAAAGACTTTAATGCTTCAGTAGTTTGTTATAATGTTGTTAACCTGCATAATAATATCATTTTGACAGAAACTACAAAGAAACCACTCTGCATTGTTGGTCATGTAAACAAAATGAAATCCCTCCAACTTTTTTTGTTGTTGTAATTTTCATGTTTCATGCAGGAACTATGCGGGTATATATCGGTTTTATTCAGTTTCTATTGTTGTCAGAGCAGCAAAGTTAATCACTATTTATTACTGCCAGAATTATAATGCAGCTGTGTTTCTGTTTTCAGTACTCCACTTTTTTATATATATTTATTTTACATATTTCAAAAGACATGTACTTTTATTCATGTACTAAAGACAAGTTAAAGTACAGTATTACCATGAACCATGCACACCAATGGAGTCTCTTATTTTGTACAAAATTAAATAGTTTCATGTTGTTGACTACAAATTTGCACTTTATAGTATTATCTTTTAACAACTATTTGTATCTGACTTGAAGTCAATTGTTGGATGACTGGAATGTACCAAAGTTCTTAGCAGTTCTTAATTTTGGCATGAAATTCATTACTCACCATTTACATGTAGGTGCCATTAGCATATATACCATTCACGATCCACATTGTTCTCCCATAGGTTTACTGTTATCATTCAATGCAACCACTGGCATAACATAACATTCTCTATCTACCATTTATTGTGACTTACCATTGGTAAACCATTCACCAACCACCATTGACCTACCATTGACAAACCATTTACCATCCACCTTTGGTCTTTTCATTGGTATACCATTCACTGTCCACCATTCGTGTACCATTGTCAGGCCATGGTGGATGGTCAATAGTAGTCCAATGGTGGATGGTCAATGGTAGGCCAATGGTGGATGGTCAATGGTAGGCCAATGGTGGATGGTCAATGGTAGGCCAATGGTGAATGGTAGGCCAACGGTGGATGGTAAATGGTAGGCCATTTGTGGATGGTGAATGGTAGGCCAATGGTGGATGGTGAATGGTAGGCCAATGGTGGATGGTGAATGGTAGGCCAATGGTGAATGGTGAATGGTAGGCCAATGGTGGATGGTCAATGGTAGACCAATGGTGTGTAAGGAGGTCGTTGGTGGCGGGCTTTAGAACCGTGACCTTCACCCCGTTCCCACCCCGCTTATAGGTAAGCAAGGCTTAGTTTTTATGTGTGTTTAAATTGTTATATTTGATAATATTGTTACTATGTTTTGTTCATATCCTGGTTTAAACGAATTAGTATTATTATAAGGCTTACAAATATGTTCAAAGAACATGATATTTGTTAACAGAAAGGTGTAATTTAAGGCGATATTGTTGTTACGTAATGCTCAGAGGGTGTGACTTCTTAATGTATAAGTAGATTACACGTAGAGGAAATGGATGCGTAGGCTATGCCTGTACGGGTTGAATGCATTTGTGTGTACGGTCAATTGGGCCTTGGAGTGTGACTGTTGTAGTCGGGAACTTGGGCGCTAATGACTATGTGTTAGGTTTTGGTGTAGAGAAACCTGATTAACGAAGAATTATGATCTTTTAAGTTTGATTAATTAGGTTAGGAATTTGTATTTGATCCAGCTTATACACTTTGGGCATTTGCATTGTCTTAAATAAGTTAAAGTTATTGTTATTAACGATTCAAATGTTTTAGTGTAGTGAACACTGTTTACCTTTTGTTGTCAAATGCTGAAAGATGTGTCGTTGTTTATTCTTGTAATTGATAACTGTTTATCATTACTCGACCCCGTTCCCACCCCGCTTATAGCGGTGTGTCCTTTACAGAATAAAGAGCACCAACTCTACTCCTCAGGCTGCCATTGTCATCTGTATTGTTCGAGGTCTACCCCCACTCATTCCGGCTACCCGTCACAATCTACCACCCCCTTACAGGTGGATGGTAAATGGTAGGCCAATGGTGGATGGTCAATGGTAGGCCAATGGTGGATGGTCAATGGTAGGCCAATGGTGGGTGGTGAATGGTAGGCCAATGGTGAATGGTGAATGGTAGGCCAATATGGTAGGCCAATGGTGAATGGTGAATGGTAGGCCAATGGTGAATGGTAAATGGTAGGCAAATGGTGGATGGTGAATGGTAGGCCAATGGTGGATGGTAAATGGTAGGCCAATGGTGAATGGTATGTGACTGGTATGTCAATGGTCAATGGTAGATTAATGGTACAAAATTTGCATATTTCATATTCAAATTTCAATGGTGAATGGTATTCCAATGGTGAATGGTAGAATAATTGTAACAAATTTGCATATTTTATATTCAAATTTCAATGTGTCAATGGTACCATTCATCTACCATTGGTGATTATGCAAATGAGCGTCCAAAAAATTATTATTAGGTTGATATGGTTGAATGCAATTTCACTGGTAGATGAATGGTGCCCAATGGTACGTTGCGAGCGTAATCTCATTGGTATCCGAATGGTATTTTCAGTGGTACTTCTGAATGATATACCATTGGTATACCATTGAACATTTTTTTGTAAGGGTAGACATGCATGTGAGTGACAAAAGAGCATAATTGAAACAGACAGAGTGAGAGAGAGAGAGAGAGAGAGACAAACAACGAATCGAATCGTGGAGTGTGGAATTGGTAGTTATATTTTAGTTTGTTGAACCAGGCTTCAACTTTTGAAATTTCAAAAGAAAAGAAGAAGACAAAAAACTTCGCTTTTCCCCTTATTTTGTTCAGTAAACAATTAGATGGCACGTGAGTAGCTAATTCTACATCGAATGATGTATGTACGAACAAACTTCTCTGCACTACGATCGAATTTTAGAACAGCTATAGTTTGTTGACCTTTTTGAATTTGCCAAGTCACTCTCCACATTAAACAAAATATAGATGACAAAGAACGAGAATGCCTAAAACCAGACTGCGTCTGCACCGTCGAAGGGGAGGTTCAAAAGAAGCAGACAGTAATTAAAAAAAAAGGGAGTTTATGATACGTTCTTTTGTAAGCTGTTATATATTTGTATTCAGTTGTTCAATGATTTACACATCTATTTTGTATAGCCTATTAACCCGTTCTACCGGAAACTGAAGTTTAAAGAAAACAAACATTTCAGCTATCTATATTCTCGTAAAATATCGTTTCAACGATATTGAGATCGTCACAGGGTATTGTAAGCTAGACTATATATTACCAGTAACCTATGGTATACATATGGCAACGCTGCAGACACATATTGATATTGTTCAAACCGGAAGACTGGCACGATGCCCGGGCACGATGCCAGACATTCCTGCTCCGTCATAGAATTCCATATTTGAAAAGAAAAAAAAAATATGGCTAAACATACATAATGTACATGCTTCGCTATAACCAGAGAACTTTAATTGTTATATAATAGGGTTGGTATTTCAGTGGTTTACATTAACACGTTTTCATTTTGACCAAAAAAGCGTATCACATCAAAGTGAACAAATCGATAAAAGACTACAATTTATTTGAGCGCAATGTCTCATTTTGTCTTTCAACGTTATAGATAAAGTTTGTTGACCTCATCTTTGAACTCTCAGTCATAACAATGGTAGTCTTCTATGTCATAACAACATAATTTTTTTGATGAAAGTCTATTCACAAAACCGATGTTGGTCAAGTGTATAATTAAATGATGATATTTAAGCCCCTATAAATGATATCAGAAATAATTTTCATGCAAAAAGTTACAAATAGAAGCATAAGGATACATCTACCGTTTTTCGTGTATCAACACATAAATTATATACGACTGTGTAGCCTGTAGGTGACTTTCTCATGCTTTTTGTACGTAACGCCCACCCCTCGCCATTGCTAGTTGCAATAACAAACCCTTATTAGTTGTATTGCATTTAAGAGTGTTTGAATTGTAAAACTATGTAGACTTCATGGTCTACTGCACTCTATAGATAACACGTAATAGGTCGGATCTTTGTATTTAACACGGACAGAGGCTGATATAGTTTGTCAAGACTCATGAGTTTTGGGCATTATTTTAAGTGTCAAAATAGAGTCTGTGACTGCAGACTATGTCAGACAAGGGGAATCCCCGATTCGATCATTACAGTCATGTACCCACCCTGATACGCTGCTGGGATCACACATGAACATCACATGTAAAATTACTGTGCGCGTGATAAACATATACTCCTGCTGCTGTCGCGGCATTGTTGACATCGTGTTCACATGAGAGAGGAGGTATTCAACCAGGCAGTAAGGATTTTTTTTCTCGATGCATTGAAGTCTGTTTCGAGATTTGCTCTCTATTATAGTATAGGGTCTATACCTACATCTTGCTAAAGTCGGACTGCAAACCGAGATTATCATCGGTGGACCAATAAGAGCCCTACCACTTGAATTCTTTAATTCATCATGAACCTGGGACTTCAACAGATCATGAAATCAATAAAACTCAGTCAAATCTTAATTATATTTAGCATTTTCTCTGCTTCATCGTCGGCCGTCTTCCGACCCCCAGATGACTCGGCTAAAGATTCGGAGGAATCAGACGCACCTTGGCATCCCGACTGGGACAAGGTTGTAAAGTGTAAGAGGGGAGACATACACTCTCGCTTTCCAGCCTGTTGGTGTGGCCAGTACGCCAAAATTGTGGAAGACGATGAAGTTCCTGAGGAGGAATGGGAAACTGAAGGATACCACCAGAAATTGCGTAATAATCGGATTATGTAAGTACATTACCATCATATTATTCATGACATGTCTCTGCATAATCTATGGACAAAATATAATCAAACATTCAAAAAAGTTCATTCGGTTGTTTGAAGAAAGAAATTAGATAGAAAATTGCTTTTGTTTTAGGCTATGTTTATTTGCGGAGGATGCACGGCATTACTTACTTTTCTGAAAACATATATATTCTTGGTTCACAATGTTTAAACTACAAAACGTGAGAAACGATCGAATTCGACTCCAGTAATATAGATCTAGATCTAACTTTTAGACCTAAACTAAGTATATTTTCCCCCTGGTAGAATGTAGTACGTAATAATACAAGTCTACCTATAGTAAGACTTCAGTAACCTTATTCATATTGTGCTCGGTTGTAGTCTATATAGTTATTAGAACGAGGAAACACAAAATTAAGTAAATTTGCAGGCAATAATGGTGTAAGCCATCATAGCCATGTGTGTCTTCGACTGCGTAGTATTTTGTACACGTTTGTTTTGACTGGGAGTTACTCGAGCATATCGAAGAGCGGGGACTGGTCACATGATCTATGAGTGGGTGTGTTTCATGAATGGCGATAGCGTGATCGCGAGCTGTCTGCCCACGGTACTTTGAACGCTGATCTCTCTCTCTCTCTCTCTCTCTCTCTCTCTCTCTCTCCTGAAGAGAGACATCTGATGTAATAACATACACGATCAGCTTTAGTGATCATAATTCTGAATTATGCATCATATCATATTCATTGTGCATAGAATTTAGACGGTCTTTGTGTAATGACAGTGAACATATTTTCCGAAGGTATTAGTACTAGCAGTAGATCTAGTTGAAGGTAATTATACAGACCGATACCATAGGTGCTTACAACATCATGGTACCTCTGCTTTATAGAATTTGATGAGTTTATTGACACACTAATAATTTGCGTTGGTTTAAAAGAAAACAGTGACATTTTTGTTAACTTAGAAGAAAAAGTCCTTGTTTCATTATTCAATTTACGTTTGCCTCACTCGTGAGGTGGACTAAATAACTGATTTGTATCCCCATGTATGAGCCTCGCTCTTTAGCTAAATTTAATTACGCGACGACGCAGTGCATGTTTCTACTTCGAGATGATTGTTATGATGACGAAACCAACATACTGATTGCGTAGTATTTTTGCACGAGGCACGAATGTTTTGACGGCGAGTCAGCCAATCAGCGCCCTTACTCAGACACACCCATATTTATCAATGGAACGACGAAATTGTGTATGATTAGTCTTCATGTGCGAACTCCAATACGAAAAAAAGGCGTCCCGAGTCATAACCCGTGGAGTTTTTTGACAACTTTCGATATTAAAATGTTGGATTGTGTTACTGGAACAATGTATTCAAAACGATGTACATCGTATGGTCAAAACAGAGTAGATATATTAACAAAATTTAAAAAAAAACCCTTCAAAATATAACAATGCTAGCTTTGTTATCATGGTAATGGACTGCGAATGTGATGGCACATCAATCATGTATTCAGACCTTGCCAACAATTTTGTAAAGGTGAACTTTCAACTCAACCAAAATGGTGGAAAGAGTTTGCAGGTAGAATCCCTTGTCAGTCGTTGTGCGTAATAATTTCTGCACTACGAGACTAAAATAAGCTCTGTACTTTAGCAAATTTGACATAACCTATAGCCAGATACCGACATAATAACTTAGACCCTGCTCAAGGCTTTAGGAATCGTGGTTAAGTTAGAGTCTGTGCTTGCAGACTAAGTATTATGCGCTGTTTATCCTCGTCTGTCTGCCTATATATCTCTCTCTCTCTCTCTCTCTCTGTCTGTCTGTATTAATCTCTCTATGGTAAATGTATGGCCTGTTGTTTGCAGTTTTTAGAGTCGAAGGGTTTCGTTTTGAGTTCCTTGAGATCCTTAAATTTTGTTTGTGTCTCTGTCAAGGCCATAATTATGTCCTTAACCGGGGCGTCATTTTTTTCTGCGGCACAGATTGGGGCTTTTTTTTTTTTAAAGAGGTCTTGATCTAACCCTAACCCTAACCCTAAACTTTCCCATAGGCTCAACACGCACCTAACCCCAATTTGTGCCGAAGAAAAAATAACGCTAACCGGGGGGGGGGGGGGGCAGAATTCCCTACAATTTCTGGGTGAAAGGGAGGGGGAGCACTTTTCCTAATATGAAACACTTTCTATCCATCGATCAATGCTTCTATTCCCAGGCCCAGCTGTTTTTTCTTGATAAGGAGGAAAAGGGGCGTTTCGCCCCCCCCCCTTTGACCAGCGTAAGCCAATAGTAGTTTAACTGCTGAAATGAAGAACAAGCAAATGACATGTAAACCTTACCCCCCCCCCCTACAAATGGCAGTACGCTGATTCTTGATATGATTTAGAGTCACGAGATCGTTGGCAAAAAGCCAAAGTTTCCACAGACTGCCAAGTTTCTATTTCTATTAGGAATGTCTTAATAAATCCATTTATTCGAGATAAAATGTAGCCGTATACATTTCTTTAAATGGTCCCTATATGACCTCTCTAATCCAGGATTTTGCAAGGAAGGAGAGGGGAGGGATAATTCTATAAAAGAAACCCGAAAGTATATATAATCAGATATAATTTTAAAGGTTTTTAATATTTCGGTGCTACATTTAATCAGAAATGCTCTCAAAAACATTTGTAAAAAAGAAGTAAATCTTATGATAGACTTTTGAGGTGCCCTTTATGTCGAAAACAAATGAAAAGGCGTGGCACACACAATGTTTTTGTTTAAGGTGTTCTGCTTGGTTTTCAGGTAGGGGGTCGAGGGGTGGATGTGCCCCTACACCCGCTAGTGTCTTGAAAAGTTGTTACGTTAGCTTCTAGTCAGAGGACAGAAAACTCAAATTTTCCGTTTATGGTTATTTAACAAAAAGATTCTGGACGAAACACATAATAATTATCTACCACGTGGAGCAGACTTTCGGACTCTACTCGGCTTGCCCGGTGTATTCTTGCACATCTAGACAGTTCTTTTAATCATAATTTACCTTTGCAGGTTTTGGTTAATTAATTCATACCCATTAATAACTCCTGATTGCTATCTTTTCATCCAGCTTCTACGTATGTCTACCATGTTCGTCTTGTCCAGATGGGATACTCATGACCGGAAAATGCAGACAAGGGCAGGACACGTCGTGCGACCTAGACCGGTGTATGGATCCAGACCATGTATTTGATCGGGGTAAAAAGGCCTGTGTCCCCAACCCGAAGGAACCTGTGGAACACACTGAAGGTAAAGAGTGATATAAATTCAAAGCATAATGATATAAAATAAAAATTACACCTAAATTCCTTGACATGTTGAACGGAAAACCATGGCTCTGTCAATGTACATCGCTTTTTACTATTTGACATTTTCTTCTCTAATGAACTGTCTTATTTTTCATTGAAATAAACTCTGTTATATGTGTTTTCTTCAGAATCATTTTCTCATGAAATATAAATACTGTCTCAACTTGTATCGCAGAAATTTCCTAAAGTTGTATTTTTTTTTTAAAGATATGACACAATGTCAAATTTCGTGGGTGTTTTTCTCCAAAGGAAACATCACATTTACTAAAACACTTTTGAAAATTATGAATAAATGATATTGTTTTATACCACGACATGATTGGTTCTCGGGGAAAATATCACCAAGGTTGACGAATTCTTCCAAGAAACATGAATAATTACATTGTCCCTGTAACATCATAATCTGCTTTTCACATAGGTTTGTCGATCATCAACTTGGACGGACCGACTTCACGACCTACTGAAGACGTACCTCAACCACTCATGACAGGTAACAACAACATTAGATTAACACACACACAATATATATATATACACTTGCACAAAACACTCACCAACTCGTACACAAAGATCGTTTAAACACTTTTTTATTCTAAGTTTTACCTTAAGATTTTTTAATTATTATGTTTAGGCCGCCATCCTTGTCAAGCATCGCTTATGATTGCGGTCTCCTGCACTTTTCCAACATAATAGTTCGGATGATACTTTAAATTTATGATAATATGTTATGGAAATATTATGTTTCGTTATTATATGTACATATATTATGTAAACAAAAACATTTCGACTTGAAGAAATTATTGTTTGTATAATATGTTATATTATACCTTACAAATATATGTTAATATTTGGAAAAATGCCGAAATTAAATAAAATCAAAATCAAATAAAAAACCTTGCTAGCCTTATTAAACAGGATGGTACGATCAGTTTGATGTCATTGTGATCCTTACGTAATGTTTTCACCAGGCGGTTTATAGAAATGTTTTTTCGTTTACTTATTTATCGTAGGTATTATTATCATTATTATTGTTTTTGGCTTGGGGTTCTTGCATTGATTTCCTGCATGTGCATCGCTTAAATTAAAAATCACTCATAATCAATACTACACTGGGGAATGAACTTGAAGATTTTTATTTATTCACCTTATTATTTATATTTTTATTTATTTATGTATTTATTTATTTATTAAATCAATTCTCGCTTTCACTTGATGCAAAAGATACATTGGCATGATTAGAAATAAGGCAATATGGTAAATAATTCCGTCGGATTCATTAAAAAAAGTTGTGAGATTTTCATGGGGGAAGAACGAGTTAAAACGGTTCTTCAACAATTGTCAGAGGAGGATTCAGATTTATTTCACGGGGGGGGGGGGGGGGGTGCAACAACAGACTAGGCCCTATGTGAAAAAAGATATCTAAATTTACTAAGCATTCACGATCCTCCACTGATCACGCGGCATTGACAAATAAAGGCAGCAAAAGTTCGTTTGAATAGAATATGATGACACAACCGAAGCAATTTTTTAAAAAAGGGACAGCCCCCTTTCATACATTATCTAAATGTATACACACGTCATTTTAAATTTAAAACCGCGTGACAAGCTAAATCACTATCGCTCTACGCAACACGCATTGACGCGTAATGTCAGTTTCGATTATTCAACATACTACCTTTATTTAATTTTTTTGGCCCTGTTGCTCTTTCAGTTGAACTACCGCGAGAAGTTCCTTCCCAAGCAAAAGCTTGGCACCAGCATCCTGGCGTCATCGTCATCGTCATCGTCGTTTCCATCGTCGCTATCGCCATTGTTAATATCATCCTAATCGTCACGGTAATCCATCGCAAGCGAGGGAGGTATCGAACCCTGACCCGTTCCCCAAGCAACCTTTCCAGGGCATCCACACAGTCGGGTTGTACGTGCATGTATCACTATGAGACACCCGTTTGAATAGAGGGTTGCATTTCTGGTAAAGGTTAAAAATAATTTCTGAGCTTTCTCATTCTTTTCATGTCTATTCGGAAGAATATCAAATGAAAATGTGCCTTGTAAAGGAAATCTCTTCACTGGCCATCATTTTCGAAATACGAAACAAGAAATAGCTGAAATGTTTAGCCCAAACTTTATGTGTGTTAAGTCCCACATGTGGGTCATTTTTGTGTGCAGCGCATTTGCTTTCCGGCAGGACCGAGTTAATTTGTTAACCTTTTTATTGATTTCAAATCCTCATAATGTACACCAATTCGTATCTACTACCTAATCAACCTTTTCCAAATATTTTGAGTTTTCGTTCTCAGTGCAATCGAGACTTGGCCAAAACTCTAAATTATCTTTAATTTCGTCCATCTTAAATTTCTGCTCTCTGAGCTTTATTCGTAAGAACAAATGACAACGGTGTAAATTACCAGTCCCTTGGTTACTTAGGATAATTCTTCATTTACTCGTCTGTTTTTGTATTGTTTGTTTACTTGTACTTGATTTGTAAAAATGCTGGACATTTCGATATTTGTATTAGTTAATTGTATCTGTCACACTGTGATAAGTAAAATGTGAATTTTATATGAGAATATCCGTTGTTACCAAAAGCGCTGTTTATTCATTTAATTTATTTCAATCAATATACAGGGCAACCCTTACGAAATCGGGTTTTGATTTTCCAACGGGCCCTGTCTGATTAAAAAACATAAAAACGTTACATATAGAACATGATGAGATACAAATAGGTAAAAAAAAGGAATAGAAGAAATACGTAAGTACAACTTAGGTATAAAATATGCCAAGTTTCATATATTTAAATATAAATATGAATCAATGGATAAAAATTGCATCTCAGAAGGTATTTACAATTGTTAACTTTTCACATCGCCTCTTGAATGATAGTTAGGATAATGTACGTAGATTGGGCGATGGGGTGTTCCACATGAGGGACCCTCAGTAGTGAAGGGATCTTTTGAAATAATAAGTTCGAGCTTATTTTTGTTATGAAGAGTGGGGAGTGTGTCGCATGTCTCGTGTAAATGGAGATCTTTCTAGGAATAATAATTAGTTTCGGATACAAAGGAATGAGACCATTTTAGTTTTTATACATTATCTGGACAAGTTTGGTATCACTTGAGTCTTTGACGAACTGATTGCCAAGCAAATTCAGATGACTTCCAATTCTGATTTTTGTAACTAACATAATTATTTCAAATTCAGGTAGTATCTTGTTTATTTTGAAAATCAGTGGTAAACATCAAATGAAGAATGCTGGTCACAGAAACCTTGAAAGCGGAAAAATACCTTTGACTTTGTAATGTTATGTATATATACACATGTATATGACTTACATTCTATTTCATAAGGTGATGATAATTTTAAAATAATATGTATTGCTATTTATTCGATTTAATTCATACTACACAGTACTATACATATACTATTATAAACAAATAAGTGTAATATTGATGTTGCTATCGCTGGAACTGTAATCTCTGTATATATATATATATATTTATGAATATTATCCAGCAAGTTTTACTTAAAATGGATTAATATTAATATGCAAGTACTTAATTGATAGTGTTCAAGACTTGTTCAGCTAGTCTTTAATTTTTGAATAGACATATTAGAGTTTTAAGTAAAGTGCATTTTAGCATTTTTATACATTTTGACAATTATGTACTTAATGTAATTTATGTAATTACATAAATTACATTAAGTACATAATTGTCAAAATGTATAAAAATGCTAAAATGCACTTTACTTAAAACTCTAATATGTCTATTCAAAAATTAAAGACTAGCTGAACAAGTCTTGAACACTATCAATTAAGTACTTGCATATTAATATTAACATATTTAAAATATGTTTGTATTTATTTTGGCCATTTTGTATTTTAGTATGCAATTTATAACAATAGTATAGTGTACGAGTAAAATGTATTGTCACGTATGTTTTATAATGCTTTTATATAATATTATCGCTTTCAATTTAATTATTTTTTGTATGACATAATTTTGTCTTTCAGTAATGATTGCATTTTATATAAAAAAGTATTCAAATAAACAAGACTTAACGATATGACTACTATTTTGTCATTTTGTCCCTTTCACTGTCATTATTTTCTGAATGAAATATATCTTTCTGAAATATCTCACGAAAATGATGATTTTTGGATTTTATAAAGTAAGTATTAACAACAACAACAAATAATTAGGCATAGCAATATGATCACTATTTTTTGTTTCATTATCTTAGAATATTAACTATTGGTATTTCTAAGCTATATAAATATATTTTTATCAAAATTCAAAATGAAATTATCATCCTTGGAGAAGAAGTGTTATTATTTTGCTGTTACTTTGTATAAAATCTAAATTCTGATCACTTGCACACTTCAATCCATTTTCTATCATATCTTGTACTATTTATTGTATTGGCTGACTAGTAGGATGAGATGGGTTGTCTCTTTCTGTCTCTCACTCGTCTATGTGTTATTTTCACAATTTCTCCTCTCTTTTTATAAAGGATAGACTCGGTCTGCATTTCTCACACTCTGTCTCTCCATGAACTCTTGATTATTATATAATATATTGATTTATTTTACAGGTAACTATAAATGTTGAACAGCAAATTTACCATCAAATTCTGATTTTACAAAGTGTCATTAATTATAAATTCTAGCGTCACATCATAAGTAGAAACGATATTTTTTGTCTTGATATTCTTGTCTCCGTCATCCAAGCTTTATGAGTACAACAAGTGACAAACACAAAAGGTACGGACCAAAAGTTAATTTTACCACCAAAAAAAATATAACAAATCGAATACAACAAAAGTACAAAGCAAGTTATCAGTCAATTTGAGGCATAATGTATTTTTATTGCTCTATGATTTTCTTTCATACAAATTTTGCAAAATGTTGTCTAAATCATTACACTCAATCTGCATTCATCAATGATTAGGTTATACTACATACTTGTTCATTAAAATAGCCCCATTTTTTAATGCGCTAAAGATGGCTCAAAAGATGAAAAAATAATTGAAGGCGGAAAAAAGAAGAATGAAAAAAAAAGACTATTGTGATACCTTTTTTGACTTAAGGAGCTCGAGAATTGAAGGAATTTCTTTCTATCTGGTATACCCATTTACTTTCCAAGATGAAGAGTGGCCGCAGAGTGTATATTAATATATCATTAGTGTTGTGACATGGATTCGAATCCCGAACCTTGTACCCAATAGTCCAGAGACCTATTGACCAAACCGCGACACCTTGGCTTGCACTTGTCATGCTTATGGTTAAAAGTAATTAGTTCATCGAGGTCAATGGTCAATAATCACAGGCATTGGTCGACGTGAATGAAAATTGAATCGACTATTTTCATTCAGAGTAACAGAAATATATATTCTTGCCAGTTTTGATATCTGTTTTCGTAAGTCATAAATCATGGCCCGTCTGAATTTAGATTGATGAAATCAAAGCGAATGCTTTAACCTTTGGTAGAACAGCGATGATTCTTTTGACAAACTACATTAGGTAGTAATGTAAACGGAGTGAAAATAATTATGAGAAATATAAAAACGAAACAGAGAAAAAAATAATGAAGCTCAGCTATATTTGCTTGAAGACGGACTTCGTATTCAATACAAGACAATTCTTAGGGTATGAATCGAAAACAAAGGGAAAAAACAACGGAAAAGTATCTTTTTTTGTAGTGTATTAATTTGTCATAAAGGTTTTCGTAAACTCTTTCGTCATGTTTTAAAGACGTATACATAAGGTCTCAAGAAAAATAAAACCATTATATTTGTATGCAGGATAAACAAAACTAGGAAAATTGGCAAATGAAGAATGCTATGTGTTTTAACTACAAATACCCACAACAACCACATAACACCAGTCCTTTGTTATAATAAAGTAATCAAAGCCTTTAAGAGCATTGAAACCTTTTAATATTGAAAGGTAAATTGCTGGTATTTGTTCAAATTCATCTGTATTATGTCGGGGGAAAGTTGCTATAGCCATGACTTGTTGGACAAGCTTGAACTTTTTTCGTGTAACATTATTGATTCGAATATGGGTAAAAGCTCTCTTCTTGGCAATGATTTCTCCGTAATTTCGGTTATTCATATTAAAATGTGGTAGAATTGCCATGACGACAGGAGGAAAACGTCATAAAAGTGTGTGATTATCAAAGGGATGCAGTCTACATCAGAACACATCAGGCGAAAGACTAATAACATGTTTCAAAGACTATGACTGAAATTAAAAATATGTAAAGCTTCTACTACAATATTGCAAAATCCTACTTTTAATATAATGATTATTCATACCCTTACAATTGTTTTGGTTTTGAAGTATGCAAAAAGTTGATTTGTCCTGCTTTATGTTTCTTGAGAATGAGACATTAAAATTTGCGTCGTTTTCAACGAAGGCCGTAATTCAATCAGTCCACCTTTCGTTCTTGAGTTGCGAAAAACACAAAAAACATCAAATTTACAAGTATGAATAATTTAGTAGTTTACTGTATATCAACCATGAATCCCAAAGCAAAGATTAGCAAATGGATATATAACATAGTGAAGGTAGAATAAATTCGAGAATGCTTTAAAATGATGATAATATAGTGTAATAAATATGCAAACTTTTATTTCGTATACATGTTTTTTGTTGTTGTATATATTTTGCAATTGCGAATAATAGCCGGTTCGGGCATCAACAAATACCAGCAGTCCCTGTAAGGGGAGTCGCAAATAGGCTAATTAAATTGGTACTTTGGATATGCCTGTCTCCAATAGATACATCAGATGTCAAATTAAATGCTTCACGCGATGAAATCCTCGAAATGATAACACTTAGTAGACTTTAATGTCAATAGTTTGCGCTCTTCACCAAGTTCATTAGGCCTATATAATGATTAATTTACATTAATAAAAAGTAAAAGTACCATCACAAACAAGACAAGGTAGATTGACAAGTCCAAGGCATACGTTTCATACCGATATCGTCAAAGTTTTTTTAGTATAGCCGATGATGATAATACTACTTATAATAATTAAAAGAATACTGATGATAATAATACAAATAGTTATAATAATAGTAAAATTAAAAATGATAATAATAATAATAACAATAATACTCAGGGAAGCCTCACCGGCATCAAGGTCCTTCATGAGGGCCCTGCAATCATTATTACTCCAGCAATTGCCAGGTACCCATTTACACCTGGGTGGAAAGTGAGAAATGCGGATTAAAACAAATTAACTCACAGGGAATTTCAATACCCTGTTGTACATATCATAGAAATCCTGATCGAATTATGTAATACGTCATTGCAATGTCCGCGCGTTTAAAAAAGGTTTAGGACAGGGTAATACTGAAATTGCATTAATAAGTTGATTTTTCGAAAGTCTCTACGATATTATTGTACTAACATAATATTATTATTATATTAACATATCACTATTCCCATAACTCAACATTCTCTTTGATTACTGATATTTCAACTTTATTTATCATTTTCGTTGACCTTCACTCGATGGTATAAATGTTGGACATGCGTCTCGCTGGTAATTTGTAGAGCACACCGGCTACCATGGCAACGATCAAACAGGTGATACACGCGAGCACTCCAATCAAAATGCTTGATTCCATACCGACGGGCGAACCATCTGCAGTTAAAGATCATGAATACCATGATTATTTTATCAATAATGAAAAAGAGAAAAATAAACAGAAATAATCCCCCATTCCAAAAACTAGGAAGTAGAAAAGATTTATTATTATATTTTTTATAAGTTTACACGACCCTTTCTGAGAAACAGCCGCTGGCTCGTTGTAAGCGTCGTGAATGAAGAAAAGAGGAAATTTCAGGTTAAAACTTCCAATTCATTAAGCTTATTTTATGTAATATTAAAACAATGTCATCATGAAGGACATTAATTAAAATACAAATACAACATAAAGAGATTTGTACATGAAAACAAGAGGTCGAATGTCAAAGGCAGGACACGTAGGTGATATATTGAAGCTGCTCCCCATAAACTGATTTAAATTTGGATATTTGACCATATAGAATACATGCAAAGTGAAATACAAACAAACTACACACACAAAAAAGGTGACAAATAGAGATAGTTATTGACATAGGCCTAGTCTGTAGGTTATAATAATAATAATAATAATAATAATAATAATGATGATTGGTATTTCTAAACCGCTCATTACCCATCAAGCAAGGTGGTCAAGGCGCTCCAATATTTATACCCCGGCTCTGCTAGCTAGGCTACCGTTTTCAGTTCTCACATCATTCAAGCAGAGGCGGCGCTCCCGGGGGGCAGGGGGGGGGGGCACAGTGCCCTCCCACTTTTTCAAGTACCCTTAAAGTGCCCCTTTTTGCATAGGAAAAGTGCCCCTTTTACTTTGACAAGTGCCCCTTTTTACAGAGGAAAAGTGTCCTTTTTATTTTGAAAAGTGCCCCTATTCATTTTGAAAAGTGCCCCTTCCCCTTTCCACTTCTGATAAGTGCCCCTTTTATTTTGACACGTACCCCTTTTCCTTTGAAAAGTTCCCATTTCCTTTGCAATAAGTGTCCATTTTCCATTCTCATAAGTGCCTTTTTTAATCTCTAGTAAGTTCCCCTTTTTAGATACGAGAAGCGCCCCTTTTTCACTTTTGATAAGCGCCCCCTTCACCTCTGATAATTGCCCTATTCAAATCTGAGAGGTTCCCTTTTTTTGCCTTGACAAGTGCCCCTTTTCCTTTGTTAAAAGTGCCCCTTCCCCTTTTTAACTTGGATAAGCGCACCTTATATTTTCACATGTGCCCCATTTCCCTTTTAATAAGTGCCCATTTTGCTTATGATAAGTGCCCCCATTTAAAGAAGAGCCCTTTTCCCTTCTCATAAATGCCCCTTTTCCTTTTCATCTATGAAAATAGTTCCTTTTCATTCTCATAAGTGCCCCTTTTCATCCCTTGTAAATGACCCTATTCAATTCTGAGAGATACTCGTTTTAGTTTGACAAGTACCCCTTCCCCTCCTAATAAGTGCTCTTTTCATCTCTTATAAATGCCTTTTATTTTGACACGTCCCCCTTTTCCTTCCCAATAAATGCTCTAATATGTGCCTCTTCTTCCTTTTAATGAGAGCCACTTCCCCTTCTCATTACCCTTTTAACAATGATATGTGCCCAATTTCTTTTCTAATAAAGACCCTATCCCTTTTTCATAAATGCCCCTTTTCACTTCTTATAAATGCCCCCTATCAAAATCTAATGGGCGCCTCTTTTCCATCGACAAATGCCCATTTCATTTTCATCCCTGGTGCATGCCTCTTTTTTGAGGTGTAAGAAGTGCCCCATTTTCACCTCTGATAATTAGCCTTTGTACTCTGACACGTGCTCCTTTTCTTTTCTAATAACTGTCTTAACCCTTTCGATAAGTGTCCCCTTTTCCTCTCATCATCAAACGTGCCCCTAATTTCAAGCGACTAAAAGCAATTTCCCCCAAGGTTCGCTCGCTACGCTCGCTCGTAGTTTTATATGTTATAATTATGTAACCTATAAAAGATCTTTTCAGTCTTCCGTTATGAGAATGTGCTTATATAACCCCATCAGGATTGGGTCATTCCTCTTTATAAGATGTATTTTTTCGCACTGCGACCTCTAAATCTTTAAAAAAAAATTCTCGCTCGCTTTACTCACTCGCAAATGAATTTGTAGACCATCACACTCAACTGCAAAGATGATACGCAAAATCTTATATGATGTATAAATAAAAACAAATATTGAAATCATCCCCGATAATGTAATCACAATATAGGTGTATATACCAATGTCTAAAAAATTGTATATTTTCCCTTTGAGATTTCCCTTTAAAGGTGCCCTTTTTTTTCTCCAGAAAGTGCCCTTTTTTGTTAGTGCCCCCCCCCCCCCACTTTGGAAGTCGCGCCGCCGCCTCTGCATTCAAGGAATATTCCTTTATACCAGGACCCATTTAAAACCTGGGTAGAGAGGGACAAATGTATATTAATATCTTGCCAACGTGGCGGGACTCGACTGGCGAACAATTATGATCCACAGTCAAACGACGTTTTCACTAGACAAACACGACACCTAGTTAAATGTTGTGTTTTTTACAAAGGAAATTACCAGAGTTGTGTGCTTCTGCGGCATGCATAGTGTGGACAGTCGACAGAGGTCCATTAGAGATTAGATGAGGTGTAGAGCTTGTTCCACGGGTGTGACGGCTACCACGTCTGAATCTAGACTTACATCCCTGGGAACACCGAGACGACGGGTCATTATCATTACAAACGAGCACCTCACAGTGAATGAAAACCTGTATGGAAAAAAATTATAAATCGACCTCTATGATATCAATAACATTTCCTTCAGTTGCGTTCAGTGGTATTCAGTAGTGGTTCTAGAGGGGGGAAGTCTGCGGGTCTCCACCTCCCCCCAAAATGACATGAATGACAAGGTACCCCATATTAAAGACAGGGTCGTATAACGTCATCTATCATTATGAACATCAAGACGGATGTTTCAAAATAAATCTAGTACTGGTGTGATTACGTTGTGAAAGAAATGGGCTAAAATTTACGTAGAAAGGTTTAATATGTATGTAGTACAGAAGTGTGAGGTGTGAATTCATCAAAATTACAAGAAATTTAATCAGAATGTCTGAAGATGCTGACAATCACAATCATGTAGTGCACACAGGAACGAAATGGGTAGGCCAATATAAAACCACACATGTGACATGGAATATTTATCAACAAATTTCCAGCTACCTCCGGTAATATTTCGAAAACGATGATCAATCCTTTTCAGGGGATATTTCTACTGTGATTTTTTTCCAAGCAGACGTGAACATGATACAGCTCACTGATTACAATTATCTCAGCTTTACTCAGCCTTTTCCCTAAACCCTATTATTGTCATTCTTGCAGCTATTTGCCTTGTACGCCTTTTATTCATTATTTTGAACACTTTTGTACTTTTATCATTGTGAAAAAGAAATGGAAATACAAAAGAACGATGGCCTTATCATCCCACCTGTGGGTTTTCCTCGATGAAGGTGAAAGCGTCGATGACAAACTTAGAGAATGACGGATCAGAAGAGTACAATTTGTGCATGGTGGGATCCTCTGAGCATCTGAGATAAGGAAAGAACAACAAAACCGTCATGATAAATGTGAGTTGATCTAGCGGTTATGTCCGTGCATGGTCAGCTCTCTTGTCTGTCTTCGCCTACAAACTGACTCTGATCGAACCCAGGTTCGATCCTGAGTCACCTCTTTCGGATGGTGACGTTAAAGGTCGGTCCTAGACGTACAAAATCTTTATCTGATTGATACGCGATTGGTAAAAACTCATTACCTATACAGTCATCCTCACAGATACGCACGCACACACCCGGAGACACACACACACACGCACGTCCGCACACACAACGCCCACTGCGAATTGGAGAATAATGAGCAATTTCGTGCTATATGTCCCGTACGATTATGGCCATTTTCAATTAATCTATTCAATCAGTAATTACTTATATGACTTCAGATTTTCAACATTATTTATACAAATGACAAATCTCTTGTTTGACCACTGAATAATGGTGCTTTCTGGTATCACTACCAGTAGTCATAGTCAATAGATCCTGCAACTATGTAACACTCGAATGAATGTTATTCTTTCGTATGAATCACGGAATCGCACTGAGTTTTTTTTAAATACTATCCACCGAGAGGTGACGTTGCCTAGTTAAAACTTCAACTTCAGCATTTATACTGTCAAATACCACATTTCCTAAAATCGCGATGTTTCGCGCACCCGTTTACACTTGTGCTGAAACATCACCGACTGAAAAGCTCAGTGATGTTTTGGCGTGTTTCAGTTGGTAATGCGCATGCGCGGCACTCCGATGCAAAAATCTCCTTCGAGCAGCTGTTTTATGCTGTGGCTGCTGCAGTCCAGTGAACTTTTTGTTTCTTTCGGTATATCATCTTTTTCCTACCATTCCTAATGTTATTCCTTGTTGGTCCATCTTTCATCTTCTCTTCTTTCTTTCCATAATCTATTCTTTATCATTTTTTCTTTCTGTCTTTCCATGTTATTCTTTGTTTCTTCCTTCTATCACTTTCTCTTTCTGTCTTTCCTTATGTTATTCTTTGTTTCTTCCTTCTACCGCTCACTCTTTCTGCCTTTCCTGATGTTATTCTTTATTTCTTCCTTCTATCACCTTCTCTTATGTTATTCTTTTTTTCTTCCTTCTATCACTTTCTCTTTCTGTCTTTCCTTATGTTATTCTTTGTTTCTTCCTTCTACCACTCACTCTTTCTGCCTTTCCTTATGTTATTCTTTGTTTCTTCCTTCTACCACTCACTCTTTCTGCCTTTCCTTATGTTATTCTTTGTTTCTTCCTTCTATCACCTTCTCTTATGTTATTCTTTGTTTCTATCATTCTAGCACTTTCTCTTTCTGCCTTTTCTTATGTTATTCTTTGTATCTTCCTTCTATCACCTTCTCTTATGTTATTCTTTGTTTTCGTCATTATATCACTTTCTCTTTCTGCCTTTCCTTATGTTATTCTTTGTTTCTTCCTTCTATCACCTTCTCTTATGTTATTCTTTTTTTATCATTCTATCACTTTCTCTTTCTGCCTTTCCTTATGTTATTCTTTGTTTCTTCCTTCCATAACCTTTTATTATGTTCTGTCTTTCATTATGTTATTCCTTTTTTCTTCCTTTTATCACCTTCTCTTATGTTATTCTTTGTATTTAACATTCTATCATTTTCTTCAAGGACGACATCTAGCCCCGCTCCTAAAGTCGCGTGACCTAACATCGCGATGTTACAACTGCGAGCGTTCATACTTACCAAACACGCCAAAAGATCACACTTTGTTTTGGTCTGTTTCGGGCTTGGCATTTTTGCCGGTAAAGCGTAGTTGCCCCTGGTAACATCGCGGTCAAGCTCCGGTTTGGCATTTTTTGGCGTGTTTGGAAGACAGCATTTACACTGTCTTCCAAACTCGCCAAAAAATGCCAAACCGGAGCTCATAATGGTTCGCGGTTCGAATCGCAGCCGCTGCACAACTGTCCTTTGACGAAACATATTGATCTACTTTTGTCACTCTCGACCCATGTGTAGTAAACGGGTATCTGGTAAGGAAGTAACTCCTTGAATGCTTTCAGCGCCTTATGCAGCATGGCTTATGCCAGGGTAAAAATACTCTGTAGGTGCGTTGAGCATCCTCTAGGATGGATATGAACGCAATATAACTTGAGCTATTAAAAAAAATATATATATCATTACGGCAGCATAATGCAAAAAAATTCGTTATGCTTACTGATTTTGTGTATTGTTTTATCAAAAGAAAAAGTCATTTTAGTAATCTGGCAGACTTGGCAGCGGCCAGTAAATGTCAATAGAAGATGTGCGGGTGCATGTGTGTAAATTTGTGTGCGTGAGAAGGTGTGCGTATAGTGTTTTTAGGTTTGTGAATGTTGGAGGTTATGTTATCGTGCACATTTTTACAGAATGCATATCTACATAGGTTCCCATGGGGAAATTTGACAGGGAAGCACCCGAGAGTATGTCTGTAAGTTATTTGCCAGCTTTTCATACTTTGAATAGGTAACAAGTAGAATAGGTCTAAATAAGGCGAATACTAGTGTTGATAATTAATAGTTTGGTCTTTTTTAACCTAAGGTATACACACGTATTGCCTTTTCCTACTGGCCCTACAATTCTTATTACCCCATAATTGCGAAGTAGGCATTTACGCCTGGGTGGAGTGGGACAAAATTGCGGGCAAAACACCTTGTCCAAGGATGTAAAGACCACGCAAGAATTATACCTGGGACCATGGAGTTATTCCATGCTGGGACCCCCGTATGAGAGCCAAGAGCCTTCCCCAACCAAAGTGCTCCCACTACGGATAAGCGCATCATTATGTTTTTCCGTGTATCTCATTTTCATTATATTTTTAATATGCTATTGTATTTGTTTTGCATTGTAATTTAAATTAATTAATTTAATCAATTTATGTATTAAAAGTGTTCTATTCAAATATAAAAAATATGTTTTACAATTGTATGTCCTTAATCAGGACCTTGATGAACAACAGCTTTTGCTGATCTATTTAAAAAAAAAAAATCTGTTTCAATAAATAAATTAATAAATGAAATCAGAGAGTGATTTCGTTACCCATTGTCGAGGAAGTTGTAACTCTTTGCATCATTCGGGTACTGAGATGGCGTGGCCCAGCAGTTATCGATAAAGACAGTCAAGCCAGGCACAGATGTCAGGTTAACCGCAAAGTAAAGATGTTCTCCAAGAATGATCTCGCCTTCGCCGTCACCTGCGAACTCGTCGAAGGTCACATCTGTGTAGCGATCGAGTCGAAGTGAAAAGTCACCGTAGCCCGTTTCGTTGAACACTATCTCGCCGACTTTCGGGACGAAGGAATCACCCAGGAGACGATGGCGATCAAGCTCACATTTGACAGGGATCTTAAGGATGTTCTCACGCGTTATTTCCGTGCCTGGGATCGGTTGAGGTGTGTTGTACGTCACCACGTTAGAATAGATGATGCTCGTCTCAGTTTCCTAAATAACCATGATAATAATAATAATTATATAAACATAAAAAAATAACAAATGAAAATAATGATGATGATGATGATGATAACAATAACGATAATAATAGTAGTAGTAATGATGATAATGATACTAACACTAATAATAGCCTATATAGAGAATTATTCTACTTCATGGAATTTTATCAAACAGTAATAGTGTAACTGTTTAATGGCTTAAACTAGCTGGCATATGATGTTTAGATTTCTTCTCACCGGTTCTAGGTGGAAAAGGCTCTATTAAAAAACACAGAAATGAAGGAATCTTAAATATTACGAAGCTCAAAGAATGATGGGCCCGTTTAACAGATTCACCTCAGTTCTGATAGAACAAATCTCATACTAAAATGACGGTACAAATTGTGGTAATATTATTTACTTGTAATCTGGTTGAACACCTGTCGTATCTGGTGAATAGAACGATTTGAGTGGTATCATGGTTGATCCCAACGCAATCATCATTCTCGAAATGGACATCTGCTGCATTAGTTCCGTTTGATAGCATCCTTCTGTCCAGGAAAACCGTCATGGATGTGCTGTCACAGTCCAGGTTGACTTCTGTTAAAGATAATCATTTTCAGATGGTTCTCAAAATGGGTTGTACGACGCATGCTCCTGCAACGATCAGACCTCGTCAATTTCCTATAATTATATACACTGAGACACTGAGTGAATTTCTTAACTTCAACCCTAGACTCGACACTATTCCTAGTCCCAACTGTACACCTTATCTAAACCCAATTTCAACCCTAACCATATTTTGACGAAATAAAGCCCGGGGCAATTGCCGCAGGAGCATATGTCGGGTCACCAAAATATAATCAGAGAAATAGACTCTCAAGTTCAAACAACCCTATGAAAAACCGAAGCTATCACAAGAAAAGTCTTCACCGATTTATGACTTTTGAAGTATAAGAAGCCGAAATCGAACAGTCTTGTGCAAATGCGACCATTTCTTACTCAACTCTGTGATCCGATCCACTTTCTTTTCTCGATCGATTCCCGAGCCTTGCACAATGGTGATCTTTTAAATATTTGTCGGTTTGGAGCCAAAAGGGCGTCAACTCAAATACTTAAAAACAGAGTTAACGCGCATATCTGGCCCAAACAGGCATGGTAGCATAAAGTCCTACTCATATTATTATAGAGAACAAAAATTGTGCTTCAAAATTCACAAATTGCGAAAAAGCCTAAAAACAGATTTTTTTTTCGTGGTCAACTACATTATATTCCCAGACAACTACCATTTGCAAAGTCAGAATGAAGGGGGGGGGGGGCTTGTCTCGTATTGTAAGGTGTTCTCGGGGCTGGGTGGGGCGAGATTAACTATCATTCAATTAAAATATGTTTTTTTATTCACATGGCATCATTTGCCTGAACTTGAGGTGAAGTGTGACCAATGCTCCGAGCCACTCACCAGTTGTGCCATACGATGTAGGTTGCGATGTAGCAGTTGCACAGTGATCGGCATCGTGGGATATAGTTCAGAGGATAGCAAAAGGGGAGAGAGAGAGAGAGAGAAGGGTGATAAAAGTTAAGAGAGAGAGAGAGAGACAGAGAGGAGGGTGATAAAAGTAAAGAGAGAGAGAGAGAGCGAGAGGGAGTTAATACAAGTTAAACTACAGTTCTGAAATAACTACAATATTACTAATACTTCATTCGGTTTCTGTTTAAGCAGCACAGATAAACCACGAAGCCATGAATAAAGGCTGTTGACCGCAGTTTTCATATTTGTTTTGGCGTACAGCCCTTTCCATTTTTATTTCAATTTTACAATAGGTCAACCTGACGGATTAGCGAGTACGTGAATCCCTCCAGCCACTCTTTTAAAAATTCTTGATTCATCGATAGAACTGTGTTTCTTTTATATTTCTATTTTTATGATGTTTAGTTACATGACTATGACGACCATTCGGCTACCTTCGAATACACAGCTCATTTCAAAACTTGCTCCTTTGCCTGAGGTCCCGCAGTTGTTGTAGTAGTAGACAGTCATGACGTTGCTGCTTGAAACCACACTATCAGGTATGTTTGAACCAGTTGATTGTTGTATCACGGAATTATAAGTTGGCGGGCCATCATGCACGCGAAGATACCCGTTAGAATCAAGCCAGAAGTCGTTAAAATCGATTCGAACTGCCGTTTGGCTGGGACATTCTACAAACCATGTGCACTCGTAGTAGTCGCCATTTACATCCGGGTAATCAGGGGTTGTGATCGTGATACGACTATCTTGGTCAGTCAGTGATACAGCGCTACCACATGAAGACATCGGTTCAACCTGGTCCCAAGTTGGCTCTCCTGAGTATAACATACACCAAATATATCATTCATAGATGAGATATTAATAGCTGCAACTGATAACGCGATAAGTCCTTTATTTAAGAATATTATTAAACTCTCCCCCTTCATTAGGCCTACATGAATTGAGTAGCCATTTCCTTTACATGGGTGGAAAGTGGCAAATTTAGATTAATGTCTTGCCAAGTAAATTTGAGAGAGAGAGGGGGAGACAGAGAGACAGACAGACAGAGAGAGAGAGAGAGAGAGAGAAGGTGGTAGTGGTAACTGAACATATCGAACCTGACGCAACAATGGAGGCACTAGCGAGTATTCCACGTTGCCTTGTTACGTCACTCCAGTCAGCATCAGTGTAGTAAAGCGTTAGGCTGTTGCTGGATGACTGGATAGCTGCAGAACCTGGTGTGGAACTAGATGATATCTCGGCCAACTGATGGGTTGACGAAACAGAAGAGGCATCGTAAACTCTGAAGCGGGAGCTGGAGAAAGTGTCGAAATCGTTGAAAAGCAGCGAGATTCGGTATCCGTAAGGGCAGGTGAGATACCAGTAGCAGTTGTACTGGTCATTCACAACCTCGACAGGATAAGTCGGTGTTCTAAAGACAATAGATGGTGATGAACTGTCTAGGTGTACCGTTTGACCACAGGAATCAATGCCAACACTATCCCACGAAAGTTCGTCTGAAAAACGAAGTAAACACACCATATTATTATAGGTACGTAGTTCAAAGATAAGAAATGTGAATGTTTTTATTAATAGAGTAAAGAAAGATTATGAAGATTAATTTGGGGGTTGAAGATTATTTCCGTTGTATTTTACATTATGATCTTCGAATTCCGATAAAAACCGACTCTGATTTTCCGTCAGATTCTCATTACTTAAAGCGTATCTCTCGACTTAAGTGCTTATATGAAATCAAAACATGTTTAAAATCAAGTTTGTCGTTGCACTGGCTACCTAAGCCACTCATGTCATACCTGTCAGTGCGACGTCCATGGCAAAACCATGACCATTTCTACTGCTTGATGCATCGTCGAAAACTACAGAGAAACCTCCTCTTGTTGACACCACCGTAGAATCGCTGATATTTCCACGAAGATAGGAAACCTGGTAGAGCGATGACGATGGATAGTCGTACACCGTCACATACTCGTTTTCTGTCTGGAGGTCGTGTACACGCATCTCAACTTGCTTGCCCGAGGGACTTGTGACGTACCACCAGCAGTCGATGGTCACATCAGATACTGAATTTTGATTGTACAAAGGAGTGGTGGTTGTGACACGTGGTGTACTTGCACTCAAGGGAATCACTCCGCCACAGAAACCCGACACCTTTGAGGGCATTGCATCTGAGGGATGACAATAAAGAACAAATGTGTGTGTATTATGTCCATATCTCATCTACAATAGCTTAAAGAGATATAAAGTAATGTTCACTTGTGATGCTGGTATGGTTCTATTTAATGTATTATTTTATCATGTAAATACTATTGTAAAAATATTGTACAATTCAGCTCAATTGGGCTGCGATACATCATTATTATGATATCAGAACGAAAGCGTAATAAATCTTTCTTTTAATAAGAAAAAAAAACTAATGCCTTTTTTTACGAACCATAATGGTCCCCTGTCCGATCACGTTATACGTTATAACACATCTATATTGCTTATATGGGGAAAGCATTTTGTTTAAATAGCCTGGTCTGCACTGAATAAAGAGAAATGGGGAGAAGGATGAATTGCAGGTTAAATCTCATACATGTATTACTTAAAAGCAAAGAGATCCCATCCTATCCCCATGTCTTGTTTTGATGAAAATACACTGGAAACACCTGTAAACACATTAAGAGGGTAAAAGAGATGTCAGGAGGAGGAAACATGTTTGCTTCGACTAACAACCACGCATATCTTGCTTGTATTAACAGTTTAACTTTCTCTACCAGCTCATCTAAAATGTAATATGTTATTAACGTTGGATTTTCCTTTCTTTCATACCTAGAATCCTCGCTTCGAACAGGACTCCTGGGCTGTTATAACCAGAGCTGGAAACTAGCACTCCGCCCCGTGACGAAAAGACAGTAGCAGGCGATTCCAGGCGTCCGGACAAGTAAGATACCTGGTATCTACTGGAAGTCGGATGGTCATAAATGTATATCTTTTCAGAACTGCCTGTCTCGAGATCAAGTACTGTCAGTTGGACCTGTTTTCCTGAAGGACTTGTAATATACCACCAGCAGTTCATGTCAACATTAGATGTAGACAGTTGAAAGTAGTACGGGGTGGAGAAGGTAGCATTTGGTGAAGACTGTGTCAGTGGAATCGTACCTCCGCATGAAGCTGCGCTCGAATAATATGGTGTGTCTAGAAAATAAAACATACATGACTTTGTAGGTAAACTTAGCAGACCATTTTCAACACGAGGTAGGTCTCTATAATTATTGTATCTCGATACAAAGATTGCAAATTGTTTACATAAGTTGTTGCTATAGGTCAGGTAACATAATGGATTGCTCTATAGCAAACACGTAGGCCTAATATATTATTGTGCATTCTGATTTTAATTCGAAATACATGGCTAGCAGAATGAAGGTCAGCATGAATCTGGGTACCAGCATGTCGCTGTTTGCGAGGAGGGGTGGGGCGTAGCTTACTCATCAGCTCTTTCAGTCTATGTACATAGTTCGCTGGATCAATGTCTGTGTCTGGCTTCGTCGGTTCTACGAATTGGGCAGGCAACCTAATGCTTGTCCCAAATACCAATTCAGCTGAGGAGCATCCAATGTCGGACTTGACAGCTGTGCGTATCCCCAATAGTACAAGGGGCAACACTTCAGTCCAGCGTACAGTGTTATATGTCTTGATCGAAGCTTTGAGCTGGCGATGGTGTTTTACTAACCCATTCGAGGCTGGATGATACAAGTCGTCCGAATACGAGTAGTGCCGAGGAGGTTGGTGAGGGCGAGGAAAAGTTTGGATTCGAACTGTCTTCCCCTGTCTGTAGTGATGGTTGCCGGTGTGCCAAAATTCGCCACCCATCCGGCCACAAAAGCCCGAGCTACCGTCTCGGCAGTAATGTCCGGGATCGGAATAGCTACCGGCCATCTGGTAAAGCGATCTACACAAGTCAAGAGATAGCTATAACCTGCAGAAGGAGGAAGTGGACCCACGAGGTCTATATGAACATGCGAGAATCGAGCATCTGGGGATGCGAACGTGCCCAAAGGTACTCTGGTGTGTCGATGAACTTTACACTTCTGACACTCCAGACAGGTACGCGTCCAGTTCCTGATGTCGCGCTTGATTCCCGGCCAAACGAAACGCTCTGTTATCACGTTCTGAGTTGCTCTAGCACCAGGGTGTGATAATCCGTGTATTGTTCTCCTATGCGAAACTGGCACTAGAGGCCTGGCACTCCCAGTGGAAACGTCACAAAGCAAAGTGGTGAGTGTGCCCGGAAGCGGTATCGACTCAAGCTTGAGCGAAGTGTCTGACAAGTCGGCTAACTCCTCATCATCCTTCTGTGATCGAGCTAAGGCAGCAAAATCGACAATGGAAGTTGAGTCGACGGCACTGAAAGGCAGACGAGAGAGGGCGTCGGCTGCAGTGTTATGCTTACCACTGATATGACGTATATCAGAGGTGAACTGTGAGATGAGATCTAGATGTCGAATCTCTCGGGGTGAGTGTCTGCTTGGCTTAGCCTGCAAAGCATAGGTGAGGGGCTTGTGATCGGTGAAGAAGGTGAAAATCCGGCCTTCGAGCATATGGCGGAAATGCCTCACGCTCTGGTAGGCAGCGAGGAGTTCGCGGCCAAACGTGCTGTACCGAGTTGCTGCCGGCTGGAGTCGCTTGGAAAAGAAAGCGAGTGGCTGCCAAATGTTGTCCACTAACTGTTGAAGCACTCCACCTACACCATAGTCTGATGCATCGACGAGTAAACAGAGAGGAACCCCAGATCGAGGGTGCACTAGGATAGAAGCGTCAGCTAAGTCCTGTTTAGCTCGATTAAAAGCTAAGAGCTCAGCTTCATTGAGTGTGATAGACTCTTTCTTCTTCTTCCTGCCTTTCAGTAGATCTGTCAAAGGTTGGAGCAAATCAGCACAGTGAGGAATAAAACGTCTGTAAAAGTTCATGAGACCAAGAAATTCTCTCAGTGTAGTGAGTGAAGTAGGAGCAGGGAACTCCCGGATGTGTTCCACCTTGTCGTTGAGAGGACAGATACCGTGCTGATTCACGTGGTGGCCCAAGAAAGTCAATGAAGATACACCAAACTGACACTTGGAAGTGTTGATGACAATGCCATACTCACGAAGTCGATCAAAAAGTAGGCGGAGGTGTGCCACATGTTCGTCATCCGTAGTAATGGCAACGAGCAGGTCGTCGAGGTACACAAAGACAAAAGGGAGACCACAAACAACTTCATCCATCAGCCGTTGAAAGGACTGAGCAGCGTTCCGAAGTCCGTAGGGCATGCAAACCCACTCGAAAAGTCCAAATGGAGTGGTTATTGCAGTCTTTGGGATATCACACGGCTCGACCGGGATCTGGTGATAAGCACGAATTAAATCAATCTTAGAAAAAAATCGTCTTACCACTGAGGCAGGATGAGAAGTCTTGTAGGTGGGGTATCGGGTAACAATCAGGAGTCGTCCGAGAGTTGAGGGCGCGGTAATACCCACAAGGTCGCCAGTCACCTGGGGTCTTCTTTGGGACCATAATTATGGAGTGGAGAGGCCCAATTACTGTCTGATGGGCGAATAATGCCCAGGTCTAACATGTGGTCGAACTCAGCCTTAGCCACCCGAAGACGATCAGGAGCTAGGCGCCGAGGGCGAGCTGCAACCGGGGGACCTCTTGTCTGGATATGATGGGTAGTCCCGTGCTTCACATCGTCGGGCCTGTATACCGGGCGAGTAATGTCCTGGTAGCTGCGGAGGAGCACGTGAAAACGGTCATCAGAAACCCCTCTCACATACATGGGACTGATAGTCCCAGTGTAGGCGCCGAATCCACACACACTAAGATTGGTTTTAGTGTCGATCAACCTGCGATGTTTCACGTCTACGAGTAAACCAAAGTTAGTAAGAAAATCCGCTCCTAATATAGGCGTCTTCAAATCTGTGACAATAAAAATCCAGCGAAACACCCGTCGCAATCCAAGATCCAAAGTAAAAGATCGCTCACCGAATCGGCGAATGATTGACTGCTTGAAGTTGGATCTTCGACGCTTCGACCGATGAAAATTGAGATTTCTCCAACAGTGACTTGGGAAAAATACTCACTTCGGCTCCTGTGTCAACCAGGAAACGCTTGCCTGAAGAAAAGACGACTATGAGGATTGCTGCCAAGGGAACTTGTCGCCGCTATTCCTTGGCTAGTTCGTTTCCCTGTGGGTATGACTGCGAGGTTGAATGCGGTGTCGAATGCGATGTCGAAGGTCGGCGGCTGGACGAGCACGGGCTCACACACTTGCGAGCTCTGTCACCATAAGTCCAGTGATACCAGCTCTCACCTCCTTGATGACGCTGTTGTCTCCGTGGACTCTTAGAGCTGGAAGGACGTCAAACTGCACGAGATGCATGTCGATGCCGACTTCGACTACGACGATCCTCCTGGAGGGAAGAAGTCAGAGCTTGCACCTGTGCTGTGAGTTGTGTGACCTGCCTGGAAAGCTGTTGAACCTCCGCAGAAACTTGTGGAGGTGATGAGGAAACAGCACTCCCACGAGCCTCAGTAGTAATAGCAGGCGCTAAATCGACAGCAGAAACAGAAAGTGGGGAAGAAATCTCCAAGATTCTATCCGCCAACTCCGCCAATTGTTCGATGGAGATTGAGTCGGATGACGAAGCAAGAATAATTCTGACATTATTCGGGAGTCTCTGTAAAAACAGTTGCTTCAAAATCCCTTCCTCCAATGTAGATTCTCCTAGTAGTTGTCGCATGCGACGAAGAAGTTGAGTAGGCTTGCGGTCACCTAACTCTTCCGCATTGAGGAGCTGGTGAATTCGCTTCTGTTCGGAAACGCCGGTACGTTTGACGAGTTCAGCTTTCAGTTTTCATAGCGATCCTTAGCAGGGGGGCAATGATGAAGTCCCTGACCTCCTGCGCTACTTCAGGCTGTAAAGAGCTAATGACGTGCGCAAATTTTGTCTCTTGCCGTGTAATAACCCGCGTCAAAAACTGCGCCTCAACCTGGGCGAACCAGAGTGCCGGGTCGCCCGGCCAGTACGGCGGTAGCTTGAGTCCGAAAGCAGAAACAGCTGGCCCGGTACTGCCCGGTGCCGTCGGGGTCGCGGCGGAGTCGGAGTCGGGCATTTCCGTTGACGGTGATGTCGCCGTCATCATGCACACAATAGAAGATATCGCTCGTAGAAGAACACAAAAAATCCGGGGTCACCAATGTAGGAATAAATGTTGTGGATAAAACTAAATGTGTATTCTTACCGTTATTACTAATCTTCCGAGCTGATATCTTGAGTTTAGAACGAAACTGGAAAATGAATCATGAAGCAGAAAAATAGTGCGATATAGCGAAGTGATGAATTAGCACGTGGAGCGCGACTAGCTAGCTAGCGAAACGCGAATATGATGAAGGCGCACAACCTTACAGTTCACACTTTCCGAAATTAACTTGAAGACATAAATCTAATTTGCGATGGAGTCCTCAAAATAAAACGATTATGATGAAGCTCACTATTAATGTGAAAACCAATGAGATAACGCTTGTTGTATAATCTGAAATCGTCCTATAAAACACGTCCGACTGCAGAAACTGAAGACAGGAGAAGCAGAGGCGGCGCTCCCGGGGGGGGGGGGGGCAGGGGGGGGGGGGCACAGTGCCCTCCCACTTTTTCAAGTACCCTAAAAGTGCCCCTTTTTGCATAGGAAAAGTGCCCCTTTTACTTTGACAAGTGCCCCTTTTTACAGAGGAAAAGTGTCCCTTTTATTTTGAAAAGTGCCCCTATTCATTTTGAAAAGTGCCCCTTCCCCTTTCCACTTCTGATAAGTGCCCCTTTTATTTTGACACGTACCCCTTTTCCTTTGAAAAGTTCCCATTTTCCTTTGCAATAAGTGTCCATTTTCCATTCTCATAAGTGCCTTTTTTAATCTCTAGTAAGTTCCCCTTTTTAGATACGAGAAGCGCCCCTTTTTCACTTTTGATAAGCGCCCCCTTCACCTCTGATAATTGCCCTATTCAAATCTGAGAGGTTCCCTTTTTTTGCCTTGACAAGTGCCCCTTTTCCTTTGTTAAAAGTGCCCCTTCCCCTTTTTAACTTGGATAAGCGCACCTTATATTTTCACATGTGCCCCATTTCCCTTTTAATAAGTGCCCATTTTGCTTATGAGTGCCCCTTTTCATCCCTTGTAAATGACCCTATTCAATTCTGAGAGATACTCGTTTTAGTTTGACAAGTACCCCTTCCCCTCCTAATAAGTGCTCTTTTCATCTCTTATAAATGCCTTTTATTTTGACACGTCCCCCTTTTCCTTCCCAATAAATGCTCTAATATGTGCCTCTTTTTCCTTTTAATGAGATCCACTTCCCCTTCTCATTACCCTTTTAACAATGATCTGTACCCAATTTCTTTTCTAATAAAGACCCTATCCCTTTTTCATAAATGCCCCTTTTCACTTCTTATAAATGCCCCCTATCAAAATCTAATGGGCGCCTCTTTTCCATCGACAAATGCCCATTTCCTTTTCATCCCTGGTGCATGCCTCTTTTTTTAGGTGTACGAAGTGCCCCATTTTCACCTCTGATAATTAGCCTTTGTACTCTGACACGTGCTCCTTTTCTTTTCTAATAACTGTCTTAACCCTTTCGATAAGTGTCCCCTTTTCCTCTCATCATTAAACGTGCCCCTAATTTCAAGCGACTAAAAGCAATTTCCCCCAAGGCTCGCTCGCTACGCTCGCTCGTAGTTTTATGTTATAATTATGTAACCTATCAAAGATCTTTTCAGTCTTCCGTTATGAGAATGTGCTTATATAACCCCATCAGGATTGGGTCATTCCTCTTTATAAGATGTATTTTTTCGCACTGCGACCTCTAAATCTTTAAAAAAATTCTCGCTCGCTTTACTCACTCGCAAATGAATTTGTAGACCATCACACTCAACTGCAAAGATGATACGCAAAATCTTATATGATGTATAAATAAAAACAAATATTGAAATCATCCCCGATAATGTAATCACAATATAGGTGTATATACCAATGTCTAAAAAATTGTATATTTTCCCTTTGAGATTTCCCTTTAAAGGTGCCCTTTTTTTCTCCAGAAAGTGCCCTTTTTGTTGGTGCCCCCCCCCGACTTTGGAAGTCGCTCCGCCGCCTCTGAGGAGAAGTGAGTGAAATAAGTATGAGGAGACTTTTCCAAATGCTCTAAAGATGTGATGATTGGCTTATTAAAAAAATAAGGTGCGATCCGATTGGAGTAACTAAAATTACACTCTTGTTGTTGGGTGGTTCCATGGATGAAATAAACTAAGAGAATGTTTAGAATGTGCAGTTGTAGATTGTTATTGTTATTGAAGCTGGCTGAACGGAAAGTGCTAACAAAAGGAATGCTTGAAATGCTAAGTATTTACAATGTTGATAAACATTTGTGACCTTAGTAAAGTTCAAGTCACTACAAGATAAAAGAGCGAATGAAATTTCAGGATTTAGAATTCCTACATCAGAAAATGGTATCACAGCAACTTTTCGCTGTCCCTTTCAATGGTTTATCATCCATTGTTGAATGTGTAAAGAGTAGAACAAGCGAACACAAACTTGTGTAATTCATCCTTTTTTAACTTCAAAAATATTTTTAAAAACACGCGAAAACACGCATTAGCAAACTTAAAGATATTGAAGATGGATTAAATAACGGGACATTAAAACATGCACAAATTAGCGCATTATCCTAAAATATTGGGTTTTGTTCAGAATGTAATTTTTCTTTTACCAACTGTGGCACACAAATTATAAGAAGAACGGAGTACTAAATTTGAAAATTTGTTTGATGCACTATTCCGAATACAATCCCCATGCATGCAATTCTATTATGAACGTGTGCTAAGCTAGGAGAAATTCCATACCATTGTCTATTCTAGAATATTAATTTAGTCTGACATGTCTGACATAGCAACTTATATGCAGCTATTGTTTGTGGTATTGTAGAAGGTGGTCAACTTTGGCAAAGTTACATGCCACTTTCTCAAGTTAGCTCATTGATGACTGACAGATGATGTCACAAGGGGAATGAGAAAAATGGGGAAAATAACGTCCTCTTACCCCCCGCCCCCTTCCCCCGCCCCGCTTGTTCGCCGGCTAATGGATTCACTGATTCACTGATTCACTGTATTGGGCCAACAACACAAAAAAGTGCTCTATATCCCCCCCCCCCCTCGCGCTCTTATTTGCTGGCTGGCTTAGTCACCGCTAAATATTTCCTCACAATTTTGACCCAACTTATAAAAAGTGCTCTTACCACCCCCCCCCCCGCTTATTCACCGGTTGACCGATTCGCCGCTGATATTTTCTCACAAATTGCCACCCCCCCCCCCATGTGTCGCCGGCTGGATCCGCCCCTACTCCCCTCCCCCTCTCCACACATGATATGTGGAATTCGAGTGGGGGGAATTTAGACAGAGAAAAATCTATTTTCGGGGAACTATTTTTGCTTTTATACCCCCCAATCAAAATCAATCCTTCAATCCCCCCCCCCCCCAAAAAAAAAAATCGTCTCGAGAAGTATTCGATGATGCATTTTCTTTGGAAGGGGGGACGGTAGGGAGAGGGACGCCTGCAAACAAAATAGTCGATGTATTTCCTTTTGGACATGTTGGAGGAAGAATCGATGATTGTACAGAGTATTATGAAAAGTGTACATGATGGAAATGCAAACGCCTTAATATACTTAGAGCCTCCAACTTTACCTCTCAGACTGAACTCTGCCAGGAAGCCTTTTCCATTGTTCCCAGAGTAGCTGTCAGTGTGTTGTACTGTCCATCCACCACGTGAAGAAACCACAGGTGATATATCCACGTCAATGTCTCCTTTTATAGAGGAAATTTGGTAGCTGGTAGAGGCTGGGTAGTCATAGAGATAAACATATTGATTTCGATTGTCAATGTCCAACCATGTCAGCTCAACCTCCTGTCCCGATGGAGCATGTACATGCCAGTAGCAGAGCACATAAGCAGTTGACGAGGGTTGGTAGTAGTATGGGGAGTTGAGTGTAAAATCTGGCATTGAGTTGCTCAGCCTAATTGTCCCCCCGCATGATTTTGGGCCCACTACCGAAGTTCCGTCTAGATCAAGAAGAGAACCGTAATGTAAACAATCGTAATAAATGTATAGGATTAATAGCGACATTTGGATATTGTGCGTACCTATCCCAGGGAATGCGCAAGACGTCGATCCATACATTACTACTATCATTCTGGCTTTAGCCAAGCTGCCCTAAGGAGCTAAAGCATTCAATGAATAACTATACCGGATAACACTATACTGCTCTTGGGTGGAGAAGGGCAAATGTAGATTGATGAAGCAAAACTAATGCCTTTCCTTTGTATTTTAATAAGTTTGGTTAAACTTTGTTTTAAGGATGATGATGATTTTGAAATCATTATCATCAACATTCTTATTATCATTGTCATATATTGTTGCTCTTGGTGTTTTCATCATAATCAGTATCGTGTGTAGTATACTATCGAAATTATTACCTGTAAGTGAGACGTTGGCGAGGAACCCTCTTCCACTAGTACCAGAGTTATCGTCTAGCACAAACGTGATGCCTCCTCGAGTAGACACGAAAGGTGACATGTCTGGGCCAACGTTGCCTCGGAATTGAGATACCTCGTAATTTTGAGATGATGGGTAATCGTACACACGCACGTAAGTATTCGATGTATCAATATCAAGCCATTCAAGCTGCACCTGTTTACCTGCCGGACTACTCACATACCAATAGCAATCTGTTTCTCCTCTAACCGACTGCTGACTGTAGTAGTACGGGGAGTTCAAGACGAAGTACTCTTGATAATGATCCAGTTCTAGTCTACCACCACAGGTCTGGTGCCCAACAACTGGGTATTCATCTGCAAAGATATTTTGCAAAACAAAATCAGGGGTGATGTAGGCAAATAAAAGACTGATGACTTTTTTGGAGGGTGCTGTTCATGAAAGAAACTGAACATCTGTGGGCAATTGGGGGCGGGATTTTAAGAAATCAACTTAAGGAAAATTTCGATTCCGTATTGCATAACCCATGTTAGAATTACATAATAAGGATATATTGACTGCTTTGAGAGGCATAGTGGTTTCTATAGGGTCAAGGGAAACTCACAACCTGCTATGACCCCAAGGCGCTTGCGCCGCGGGGTCATAGCAGGTTGTGAGTTTCCCGAGACCCTATAGAAACAACTATGCCTCGAATATTAAAAGCAGTCAATATATATTTTATATACCGAAAAAAAGGAAAATGTTGACTCATCGTTAGCATTGATTTCTTGCTGTAATAATCGCCGTTCTTCTGCCTGCAACCCGCATAGAATTTTTGAAGGATCTTGTCCAGGTCTGCATTCGGAAGTCTGTTTACATCTCCGAGGTCCGTGTTGACATTTCGCAAGAACTCTTCAAATATTTTAATGCCGTATTTTACTGCATACTTCGTATTTTTGCTATCAGCAGAATCGATTAAGTCTTGCAGCTGAATGTCATCCATAAGTTGAAATCTTGGCATAGCTGTGTCCTCCATTTTGCCTCTTTATTGACAAAAAAATGGAAACAAAAAACCCCAGTATTTTGCGATCGAGACTAGTACACAAAATGGCAATCGGTCGTCTGCGCTGCGTGGATTGGTAGATTCGTCGCCTGAATGCAGCGACCAAAATCGAATTGCACTCAAACACCGTTAACGGTATTGCGCATCGGTCATCGCACAAAAGAAACTTATACGGTAACACGTAAACCAAAATGGGGATCGCAGCAAAATGACGTCACGTTTCACAGCCATGGAAAAAGTGCTATGAAAAATGGATATAAACCGGTAGAGCCGGGAAAAATGACTATGAATTTCAATTAGCGGGCATGGTTAAGAACATGACTGCATTTTCAACCAATCAGAAGACAGGATTGGTAAAGAATCTTAAAATGAGGTATATAATACATTATAAAAGTTTGCACATTTTAGCAGGTGGTGTCACTATGAACACGACGGACAAAGAAAGCGGACAAAATATACAGTTCCTCAGGTAGACAAAGGAACATCCCTTCACTGTTATTATGTAAAAAGGTGAATATGCATGTGACACCTGTTCTACTCATTTTTACATAATAGCAGTGAAGGGATTTTCCTTTGTCTACCTGAGGAACTGTATATTTTGTCCGCTTTCTTTGTCAGTCATATTCATAGTGTGTACAAAGATATTGAAATTGCCAATATGTTAATAAGTAGATTTTTCGGAATTCTTAGCGATCGTATTAAAGTTTTGAAGAATTTCATTTAAAGTAATGTTCTTAACAATGAGTTTTTGTTCATACCGAATGTTCGATGTGGTCTTCCAGAAATACTCTCCCTGGCACGATTGTGTCTTCACATACCGCTCGTATGAACACCTCTCTAACGGGGTGAGTATGAGTTGGGCCTTAGTTCTACAGGGAGACCGTTTCGTTAAATAATATTGTTAATTTCATTTCCACTCTTAAATAAAAGTTCACCTGTAATGCTTATTGTAAAAAGCAGGCCGACTCCTCCATATGTCCCATTGAATTGGAAGTATAGTGTTCCTGCGTTCTGAGAGAAAACCCTATCTTCAGGCATGATAGATGGACTCGAGAAACGAGATACTATTCCACTTTGGCTAGAATTATCGTAGACATGGAAATGTCCTGCGTTAAGCTGATGGAACTCGACCTTTAAACGGCTTCCGACTGGACCAGTAACAAACCAGTAGTTGTCCAAATATCCATAGTACGGAATAGTGAAATTCGTAGACTGAATGGTCAGCGATGTCGTATTTTCATTCAGTTCAATGACTCCACCAGATGATGGGAGAACGCCGGCATCGTTATGTCTCAGTTCATCTAGTATGAAAAGGATACGAAACACGAAAGAAACATATGAGAGAAGAAATGATGCATGTCGCTTGCTATAATATTAATAATTCGTCAGGTAATGCTCTTCCTTGCAACGCGGATTCTATCTAGTCGTTTGTATTAATATAAAACGTACATTAGTTTGGATGTATACGTATCAGGGCTGATTTGGGCCATATACTTTCTCTTTTAGCATTTGTTTAAGCATTGGCGCGAAATAGGCTACGATGAAGGTCGGCAATTATAAATTCGAGAGTTTGAAGATTCAAGTAATCTGTTATTTCTTGTCAATATCTCATATTTTTCTTAACCCTAAATAGCTATATAAATCTGGAGAAAAAAAAATTGGCATGCTATATGATATGTCGGGCATATTCTGAAAACCCGACTTTCTAAAACTTCTCATTCGATTTGCTTGCTCACGTCAACTGCAGTTTAATCAGGACCAGCGTCCTGTTATTGGAACATTATGGATCCCGAATTAGAGAAGTATTTACCTATGTAGCTGACTTTCACGCCGAAATAGGTATCCAACAGAAGAGTATTGTATTCACCGTAGAAAAAGACACGGGCACTAGAATCAGATATAAATGGGTTTGGGGCTTGATTGAGTCTTCCATAAGGGTTAGCATGGAATATTTGTCTTCCTCTTGAATCGAATATCCTCATAAAATCTTTGTTATCAAGTAATTGCCAATCATAGAAATCCACCACAATCATCGTGTTGGGCGGACTATTGATGTACCAGCTACAGGAGACAGACACACTAGATGGATAGGAGTTGGTGACGTTGAAGTGAGATATCGGAGATGTCTGGTCGAGATTGATAGTTCCTCCGCACTTTCCTGGAATGGCTCCTTCGACTGACAACTCTTCTGCATGAAGAGATGAAAAAAGGATGAGTGAATGGGCATCCATAGTCAAGGTGAAAACCATAAAGCAATATTTGATAACCTCCCAGGCATCTAATATGGGATAAAACTTTGTGTTTGATTTTGAACTATAGACAAAAGTACTCGCACTACAGGTCAAAGGCCTGGGACCTGTCTTTATAAACAGTTGCGAATAGTCATAACTTAAGCTACGGTCACAAAGGTTCGTATATGAACAATGCGCTCGTACGAATCTCCCTGTTTTCCATGATCTTCCCGAATTTCCATGGTCTGAAAATCGTTCGTACGTAATGGCGTTTCCGACCGAGGCTTAACGAGCCTTAAGTTGGCAATAAAAAAATACATATTCACATATTGTACGCAATATGACCCAAAGTTTAGTACCTTGTAGAGTTGCTTGCAGGGTCACCGAAGTCACTTGGTGGATGTCGTTTGATGTTGTGGGTAGTTTACACGTGAGTTCACGACCACTTGATATGAAACTGTTCCCGTGACGTCCACCGAGTTGGATGCCTTGTTCATTATCAGTCTCGATCCCGAGTCCGTCATAGACGATGAAGGGTTCAGCCATGGGCCCCAAAGCCTCTACGTCCAGCCGAATGGTCGTACCGGGTGGACCGCGGAAATACAAAAAGCATTCTTTTGTGGCATCGACGTCAGTTCCTCCGAGACGGTAATGCTCATCTGTGATTTGGGCAGTGGGTTGGTCCGCGTCCAGAAGGATGACTTCCCCGCATGCAGTTGGGTCTACACCATCTAGTGATGATCAAGAAATAACAACAAATTATACAAACTATCAGGAATATGAAATTGTTCAATTTGTCTCCATATTTGGCTCTCTTTACAATAAAATCAATTCTTTTCTCACCTCAGGGATTTCATGAAGATAACATTACATTTGTTAATCATTTTCTTATTTAAAAGTCAAATATGATTTCATTCAGACGGGTTTAACATGATGTAACTTTTTACATCGAACACGATAGTTGACGGCAGGCTCGTACGCAGGGGGGGGGGGGGGGTTCCTTCAGCTTTTGTTATGTGTGTATTTAGGAGCAACCCCCCCCCCCCCACCCCGAGCCCTGGGAACGATTTTTTTTACCGGGGCTGCTGAGATATTTATACTGCGAAATTTACGCAACGACTCAGTTAGCCGTTGAATAAGCGGGCGGGGGGGGGGGGGGGGGGGGGTAAGAGGACATATTTTTTATTTTTTTTTGGTCCCAAAAATTTCGCAACGACTCAGCTAGCCACTGAATAAGCGGGGGGGGGGGGAAGAGGACATGTTTTTTTTTGTGTGTCCCATAATTTGAAAATTTGGTCGATCGGTATTCGGGGGGGGGGGGGGTAAGGTCTGTCATTTCAGGTCGCCAATTACCACAATTTTTTTTAATTTAAAGAAAAAATAATTATATAGGATTTCCCGGCCAAATTCGCATGTTTGTCATTCGAATTCATTTACTTTGCAATTAAGTTAGCGCAGATCGGCTTTGCCATGCCAATTATTCAATTTTTCAGTTTTTGTATTTAATATAGGATTTTGGTCGAAGGGTTTCATAGATCTCTCATTCAATTTAGAAACCGCTCAACTAGCATTCAAATTAATATTTACTTGTCGAAGCGTAATTTTTATCATTCAAATTAACACCTGTCATTCGTATTCGTAATATTTTTTTTTATTAAAGTCAGGAATGTTAGGGGGAAGAATTCTCGCTACCCTAAATAGGTACGAAAATCTCGAAATTCGCGAGACGAGGTAATTTTCACTCTCTCGGGTCGTCACTACAACTTCCGGTATAGAGTCCCATCCCGCTGGCGCTAGCGCCTGTGTTCGCTGTGCAGAGTTTTCACGCACGCTAAAATCGATGCCAATCAGTGTAATTTGTACAGATTATAATATGCAATGGAAAGCTTCGGGCAGAATTAGTGACTTTAGCACAAAAGGCCGTTAAACTCTACCGTGAAAGAGAGGGTTGTGATCACGAACGCCTGCACAGGAAGCTGTAATGTCGAAAAGCTATCCCATAATGCAATGCGCGTTTTCAGGATTTTCCCCGGATCTCGGCAGAATCGCTATTTGGGGTAGCGAGAATTGCAACAAACTTTTACAGTTTATAAATAATGCAGTTAAAATGCATGATTTGCCATTGGGGTCTAAGCTGTTATTCCATTTATTTATTTTCAGGGCAATGCAGATGGTGTAGTCAGACATAGAGGAAAGAAGGGGCGAAATCAAGGGATGTGGCATTTCTGCACGGACATGTTTATATACCCGGGAAAGGTGCAATCGCCCCTTTTTACTACAGACTCGGAATTTTACAACAGTAATTCACATCGTCTCTTATACCCAGCACACCCCTCTGTTTTTCTTAAAGAGTTTCATAGTTTACTTGCCCGCCAGCAGATCGGTGGCTAAAGACATGGCTAATTCTATTGCTAGTGAAATTGTGAAAATAAATGGGTCCTCCCTCTATCGGCGAGATAGAAATGATGGTCGCCGAGGTGGTGGGGTTTGTATCTATATAAAAAGTACCTTATCATTCATTGAGAGAAGTGATCTTTATGACAATTCCCTTGAATTAATTTGGCTTGAAATTCAAGGGCTGAAACTAGCAAAGTTACTTGTTTGTTGTATTTATAGACCTCCTGATACAAATACTGAGTATTTTGAGAAGATCACAGAAAATTTTGAGAAGGCAAATGACACAAATATGGAATTACTTATACTCGGGGATTTCAATGTCGATTATAAACTGAATGAAACTCT